GTATCCTGTGTGTGTGTATCTGTGTGTGTATATACATATGTGCATGCATGTGTGCGCATGTGTGAGTGTGTGCGATGGCTTCTTTGCCCCCTCATTAAACCATGCTTTACTCTGGTAAACGGCAACAGCACAGAGCTCAATGTCAAATGGAGAGGTTACAGCCATAGGCAGGCTCTGGGACACAGCATGTTATGTTAACAAATGCATGAACGACACACCCATTTCATTTTAAAAATGAAACTTTCGGTAAGTTTCCAAAGGCACGTTACTTTTGTCTTTGTTCTGACATGGCCAAAAAATGGGGAGTGTCAGCCTGAGCCAGTGTGAGCTGGACATTAGCAATTCACACATCAAAGTCATAAATCAAGGACACCCTTCACCACAGAATAAATGGAACATAGAGGCCTGCAACTGGCTGTGTGCTAACTGTATCTCTCTGGGTTTCCATAATGGATCTATAGCATTTTGTCATGTCGTCTGGTAAGTGACGTTTGATGTCATCGCTCCTGTGTGACTTCCTTTCCACACTTCTACAGTTCATTTTTTACCTACAGGGAAGAAATGGGAAATATCTCTGCACAGAAATGTAGGAATACAACGCATGCATATTTAATTCAATGTATCTATTTAATGGCTCACAAACAACAATGACATAAATAATACATTAAACATTCACACACACACAGAGCTTTGTTTGGGTTAGAAAATTGGAGCTCACAAAAGCTGACACCACAGCATGTAGGTGAGCATGAGTGAGTTCCTGACATTTTTACCTGAGATTTAGAGCATTTGCCCTTCAACAACTGATTTTTTTTTTCATCTGTTGTATGTTTGGTACCGCAAGCAGACATACTGATGATGTCACGTCTCTGTTATTACCTTTAATGTACTGCACAATCATAAATGGCGTTTGTGTCACACATGCAACATTGATCATACCATTAGCTCGAATATTCACACAATCCCAATCTGTTACCATGGCAACACCTACTCTTGATACATACACACACACACACACACACACACACACACACACACACACACACGCACAGGAGGCAGATGGGGCAGTGGTCTAACATGTATATGCTTTTTGATCTGCTTCTCATTCAAGCAATCATGTTAGTGTCATGCAGCAGCACAGCCAGACATGAGCGTGTGTGAACTGTCAATGAGCTGCCTTCACAACATACAGCTACCAATACATCACTTTGTCACAAGAACGGAGCTCTACAATAAAATGTTGTATGTTTCATATCATTTTATTTCATATCATTGATTCCAAAACAATGCCTTTCCTTCAGACTTGCTTTTTACACCCGTACAATTGAGCGACATGTAGAGCAGACTCACATGCAGAAGCACTGTGGCACAGACGGCTGTTGTCTGTGTGATGTACTGAGGTCTGTACCAACCCGTTTGACAGTTGCATCATTTGAATCATAGTAGGGGGCTGCTCTGAAGTAGAACCCTTTAAAATGCACATCAGATCACGCAATGACGTGCATATTCACATAGAATGTGCGTGCACATTTCATAGCTTGAATTTGATTTTTCAAAAGGGAATTTTATTCGTTATTCAACTCAGGCTGGCCTCCTAAAATATGAGTCAGGATGTCAAGGGTCCCCACAAGAGTAATCATATCTTTTCATGAGCTTGAATCCCAAGAACAGATTCTGAAGTTTGTCTTTGTCTAGAAAAGTTTGATAGACTCCTTATTTAAGTGCTCCAAAGAATTTGCTGAAACCAAACAAGTCATTCCCGATGGATGAATAAAACCGACTCTCCCGTCAGTCTGTCCACCTGAGTGTGGTTTGTTATCTAAAACTAGTCTATAGTCTATTACCATGGACAGATACACATACACCCCCAATCTATTATTGAACAAAAGGCTCACGCCTCTGCTCAGCCCTTCAGGGAGGAATCCATCCCTCCATCACAGAATAATTTCACACATCAGTAGGTACACAAAAGAGAGAGAGGGGAAGGAAGAGGGAAGGGAAGGAAGAGAGGAAAGGACAGAGAAGAGGAGGAGGAGCAGGAGGAGGAATGGATGGGGTAAAAATGTATGGGGTCACAGCTCAGTGGTTGTTGGAGGCCAAGGTGTCGGGGACAGCCATGCGTGACAAAACAGAGATCAGAGGATCATATGCAGTTGCGCACATGTGCAAGAAAACAAACGCACATGCACGCGCACACACAAATACCCACACACACTTGCACAGTCATACACATGCCAAGAAAAGGTGAGAATAAGGACACATCAGATGAAGACTTGTAAAGATTGGGTCCGACTTAATCAGAGCCATCCAAACACAGAACGGTAATCTCTTTATCTCTCGCACTCTGCTCTTTTTATTCACACACACACACACCCACACACACACACACACACACACACACACACACACACACACACACACACACACACACAAAGGATAATCCTAATTCTAAATGCAGACATGTATAAACAGCATGCAGAAACCCAACACCCAAACAGTGCGGATGAGGAATACAAAACCCGTTGTGGATTTCCTTCCGCGTAAGCATATGGAAATGAAGAATTCTATGGAAACCCACAAAATCATACATGCACACCCAAACACACACACACGTCTGTCTACACACCAAATAATTACTGGGCGTTTTAGCACACACATTGGTCGATAACACATCACCACACTTCATGAGCAATATCTAGACCAGAACAGCATTATATTTTAAGTGAACACACACAAACACACACACACACGCGCACACACACACACACACACACACACACACACACACACACACACACACACACACACACACACACACACACACTGAGGGGATGCGACTGAATAAATAAATTGATTCAAGTTTGACAGCTGACTTGACAGCTGACAGCTGATTGGTCCAGAAATCCCACATAAAAGTGTGTTACACTACAATCTATGGTGGACTTACATGTGTTTAAAAAATTGATGACATTTCATGAAAACTGCTATACCTCTTGCAATGTCTGCAACACAGACAGATACAAATCAACAAACAGAAAAAATCAATACTTTTATTGCAGCAGCAACAAAATAATTGACCACAATAATCCGGAGTTGTGCATATCCCTCTACAGACACACTCGCACGCGTAGTTAGAAACACATACATAGACTGAAATACATACATGCACTAGATGCACAGTGAGCACCCCCCTATGAAAGCACCAAGCAAGAGGAGCAGCAGACACAATGGAGTGTTTAAGTATGCAGGAAACTTTATGCCTGGGTGGAAGAGGAGCTTTGAAGGAATCCGCTGAGGGACACCCAACCTCCCCCTGAACTGAGCCTGTACCTCCTCATCAGAGCGAGAGAGCCACGGAGAGAGAAAGAGAGAGGGGGGTGGGCGGGTGGGTGGGTGGGGTGGTAGGAAATGAAAGATAAAGATGGAGAGGACTAGATGGTAAGCTGAAAGGGAGACTTATGGAGAAAAAGTGGGAGAAAGGGCAGGAGAGGGGGCAGCAACAAGGTGCTCTGGTCTAGTCCCTGTGCCTTGTGCACAATTGCTCTTGGTTAGGCTGATGAAAGGAAGTCCCAAACCAACTGCGGTCACGTTGTTCTGAACCACACACACACACACACACACACACACACACACACACACACACACACACACACACACACACACACACACACAGCCTATTCATGTGAACGCACTGTTCAGTAGGCGCCGTGCTTAACTCCCAGTATGACCTTCATTGAGATGGATTGCATGAAAAATGTAATGACTTTCCTGAGAGAAAAACCACAGGCCAAATCAGCTTTGCATTGCATAATAATGCTGGACTTGGTAATCAATAACACAAACACACAAACACACATCCATAATGGAGTGCACAGCCTGCACATGGAGAAAATGTCCTCGCAGAGGCCAACCGCATCACAATGAATGGAGCAAACCACCAGTGGAGAGCTGTGCAATGCATAAACAAGGGGCTATTGACGATAAATGCCTGCATCCATTTCCACCCATCAAACACTTCCCTAAGCTAACAGTTTAAGTCTGGAAGAACATGCAACTCTGTAAAGCTTTTCACACCCCAAATGTTTAGCTCAGGGTTATCTTTGGCCATGAGTAAAGAGTTGTCCCAACCTAATTTGGCCCCATTTTACATTGTACCACTTAGCCAGCAGCAGAATTTAAGTTATCCATTGTTCATGCTGCAAATATGATACTAATTTTGGCCTAGAGCAGGGCAAACTCAGCCCTATATTGTCCTATATACCGGTAGCAGTGTGTTTGTGTGAAAACTTCAACAGTCAGAGCATACTAAAATTTCTAAAATATGGTTAACATTGAGGAAAGTGAAGAGCAAAACCCCTTAAGTTACTTAAACTTAACTCACTTTTATGATCAAATCCTCTGGGTGCATGGTCACTGCTTTTGTTGTTTATACCTCAGACAGCTCTCCGTTTTTTTGGAGGACAACATTACACACTGTAAGTAGAGCATCCTTTTCACACATAACACAAGACAGAAAAAGCAACTATGTGCAGAAATGTGCCACACATTTTAAAGGCTTTTTGTGGTTGCATGGCAACAATGTTAAGTTCAGATAACAATCTTTATCCTATTGACCATAGGTTTTTTGAACCCAGTAACACCCAGAAGCGGACACATTCATTCTGTAGCCTCATTTGTTGTTTCTTAGCCTCTAAGTCGTATACTTTTAGACCCAGGAGCCCCTGATCCCTACGCCTTAACCCAGAGTTGTTTGGATTATAAAGCGAAATAGACAGCAACATGCCAAATGGAATGTACAGTCTCGGAGCTTGGGTTGTTTTTTTATTTTTTTATTTTCTAGTGTCACAGTTTTAGGGTCCCATAATGAAAAGCTGCCATTGTGTTTGTTTACCTCCTCTTCATCTCTCAATGTGACATTAGCTAGAGATGCATCACCAGTAAAAATAACATTTCATCTCACTGTCACAGATATTTCCCTTTTGAGTGTGTTTCATTCTCACCTCGTTGGTGTTCCAGCGATGGCGCTCCTTGGGCAGAGAGGAACATTTGGGTAGACACTCTAGCAGCTTTTTGGGAAGGTATATCTTCAATTGGCCTGGCTCATCTGGAGCAGAAGGGGAAGTGGGGGAGGACAGGGGGTGAAGATAAAGGAAGATAAATGAGGGATGAGTAGGAAGAGAAGAGAAATTTCTCATCAGACACAGAGATATTGCGAGAGGAGAATACCAAAAGGCAGCATCTCTGGCAAGTGGCTGAATAAAATCATAACAAACTTTTATTGTGTAGCATTTAATGGCACAATGTGACCTTAAATAAATTAATTTGCGAATAGATTTTTTTCAGGCCTATGAAGGAAAGAAGCTTTGATTAATTTTGTTAAAAGAAAATGTGGTCCATCCAGTTACAGATCATCCTTGATCTGTAAAAGCTTCCTGTAAATTCTGAATCAGAAATAGAGCTGAGGATTTTTGGCATAGCAGTGAAAAGAGATGTCAGGCTAACACTTTGTATGGCCCAGTAAATGCGTTATTCCTAATCAATGAGTGTGTCTTATTATATCTTATTCACTTATGGGTGATTCCCAGTGATGTAGACAAGTAAGGTTGATAACTCTGTCAATCAAGGTGCAGAGTGCAAACAATAGGCTAAGTGTGCAGTGCGCAAAGGAAGTGGCAGTGCACTTATTTTTGGACAGCAGGTGGAGGTGCACAGCACACCTGGGGCCCACCCAGAATCAGATTTGGATTAAGAAGAACCCATTATCATACATTATCGGTACATTTGGGGTTGGTTACAATCATGGCCAATCACATGGGCATCTCTTATCCCCTTTAAAAGCAAAGCGCTCCCCAAAGTGTTAAACAAACAGTTTGGTAATGGAGTAGAGATTCTCGACTGGTTCCTCCTGAGAGGAAACTAATATTCTTCTACGGGAGCTGGAGAGTTGCAAGTTCAATTACACAACAGCGCAAATCCTGCTATAGGCAGGTGATGTTTAATGTTTCTGGACATACTGAAAGTCCTCAGAGGACCACATTTTCTATGTAATGATGCACTACTTTAGTTAGACTCACAATCATCCTCATGCTAACCACAGGTGAGGCAACATTGGTCGGTAAAAACAAGTTAGCTTTTACCTACTTGGCAGCATTGCCTTCAAGAATGACGTCAGGTGATATTCTATATTTTTCTTATAATCAACAAGTATTGGCTGTGTAACCAAAGCCCAATATAGTATGTTTCTCTCTGCCATAAACCTCTACTGTTGTCCAGAAACTATTAAAAACACACCAGTGAGCAACACTGTTGCACTAAGTGACAGGTTCCTTCATTACGATGAACATGGGCACTGTAGTTTATTTTGAGTAAATCCCACATACAACATTCTGCTGCCGGTAATACTCACTCATACACCAAATCCACAGCTGAAAATAGTCCCCAACATATGCACTATTTTCTCCTGTTTGAGTAATATTTGCTAAAAGCTACAGTGCCCAGCTGGTTCAGGACACTGCATTTTTTTAAGACGTAACTATATATTTGTGACCTGCTTTTAAAGATTTAAGTCTTCAGTAGGAACCATGGGGCTTAGGGCTGAGAGCCATAAACAAGACGGAAAAATTTAAGTATTGAGAAATGGACTAACACTCTGTTGATTTTAGTCTTTTCATGGGATTTGTTGACAATAACAAAACTATAGCCAGCCTTATCCTTTAATTATTTTTTTCAGTGTAATATGATGTGACTACTGGTAGAGGAACAGACAAGCAACACATGAATAATAGAGGTTTGCTTAGTTTTGGAGAGAGCTATAAGAGTGCACCGCCACCAAAACTACATCAAGCTGCTGGATTACCTGCGAAACGGCCCCTACTGAGCCTCTCCTCCCCCACTGCGGCACGCAGAGAATCACCAAAATACTGAATAGGTGCAGGTGAGGAAAAAATCCCACTGCGCCACAGGAAAATACCACTTCACCAGCGCAAAGCGTCCGCACAAAGGTAGAGCCCCTTGTGTGTGTGTGTGTGTGTGTTTGTGTGTGTGTGTGTGTGTGTGTGTGCTTGTTTGTGTGTGTGTGCCCAACGGGTGTGCCGCTAAGAAGTCAAAGAGAGCAAGCACTCAAAGGTTATTGATAAGCATTTGAGTAGAGGGCGTCCATTCATGACTCCCCTGGGAAGATAGGAATTATACTCTACCTGAGGGCAGACGACAGAGTGAGAGTAAAAGAGAGATAGGTGGGGTGGGGGGGTCAGAGTGGGGAGACAGAGAGAGGCAGGGAGACAATGAGCCAGAGAGGGACAGTTAATGAAGAAAAAAAGAAACTTAGAGAGAGAAGAATCAGAAAGTAAGAATTTCACAAGGACAAGAGATGGAACAAGGTAACACAGAGACAAAGAGAGAAGTGTACTATAGGGTTACAGGATAGGGTCTGTAGGGGGTCTATGTGTGTGTGCTTATGTGAGTATGTAGGTGTCTGAGCAAGTGTGTGTGTTTGTGTCAGTAGGAAGTGTGTTCAGGCACGTATGCTCCCCCTAATCAATTATGCATTTATTAATAGAAGGCCTGAGAAGACAGAATTTCAAACAGCTGAACGGTGCAGCAGCTTAGTTAAACAGCTGAATGGTGCAGCTTAGTTAAAGCCTAATTTCTTTTTTAGCAGCACTCCAGCCTCTCTGCTATGAATGCCAATCAGCGTTTAAACCCCACCCCTCCTGGCTATAACCCCCTTCCCTCCCCCTGCTGTTCTGAAGAATTCTCATCAGAGCCTCGCCTTTGAAATGTACCAGAACCACCACATCAAACAAGACCGTAGCACATGCGTAGGCACACACACAAACACCCACGCACACACACACATACACACATGCATGCACGCTCATACATGCAAACAGACACACATATACACATGCGGTGCCTGCCGATCAAGAAACACACATCACAGTATTTGTCCCAGAGTGGCGTTTTTTTAACCAGTGACCTTGGTTCCAAAATCCCTTTCAAAGCACACCTTCATGGACACAACCATCATCTTAACGTATTCTTACATTTACACTCCCCGCTGACAAGGACTGGAAAACCAACTTTGCTGATTTGTTGAATGCTGATGAGCTTTTACACCCCAAAGAGGCTGTACATAGATCACGCACTCACTTGCTAATCTAGTAAAAGAGAGTCCAAAAGAGTGACAAAGCCTGAATGCTAATGTGAAACTGATGGCTCATTAAGTCATATAGAGGTATGCGTGCTAAAAGTGAAAGTGTTCAACCAAAGTGAAACATTGCTTTGGTAGCCTATCAAATGCCATAATTTAGACTGGAATCACAGCCTCCGACTGATGAATATTTTACCTCATAAAACTGTCATCTCCATATTTAACACAGAAACAAGCCAATGCCCTTGTGAGATGGCTGTCAGTTAATTATAAAACTCTCCTCAGTAAAGAGAGAGAAAAACGTTCCAAATGCAACTCTTAACTCTCCCCCTACTGATATTAGGAGGCATCAGGGGAAATTTTCACATTTTCCCTCTTTTTGGGATGAAATTAATGTGACAGAAAGAAAGGCTCATTGCACAGCAGCTAGATAGAGGGATGGGAGGGAGGAGGGTGGGAGGGCAGGAGGGAGCGCCAGGGCAGGGAGAAGAAAGGGGGGAGCATAGCATGGGATGAGCGAGAGTGCAGGAAGAGGGAGGGAGAGACGAGAGAAAGAGGGAGAGCAGGGGGGGAAGGGATAGAGAGATGGGCGTGCATGCTAATTTTATCATTCTGCTGATAAACTTTTCCTCCAGTAATCCTCCAGCTGGGACGCGAGAACAGATAGGAGACAGGGATAGGCTCGGGAAGTCTCCGTTCATATTAAACAGTCATCCCAAACAGAACTCTCTGTTCTATTCTATTCTATTCTTTTTTATTTCAGATTTTTTCTTAATTCTTTATTTGCTATTTTATGACAGTTACATCTTCTCCCATCCCTCTTAACAAAATAAGAGGGTCTGGTGTAGGTACGACGCAATCAGCTTCTACTGAAATGAAAAAGGGGTTGGGGTGTGTGTGTGTGTGTGTGTGTGTGTGTGTGTGTAGGTTTGTGTGTTTGTAGGTGTGTGTGTGTAGGTGTGTGTGTGTGTGTGTGTGTGTGTGTACTGAGGAAGGGGGGGTCCACATACCGTCCCTCCCTATACCCATAACCCCCATCACCTCACTAAGCACCATGTCCGTCTGCTCCTCCTCACATCTGTTTATTTTCTTTCAATTTGTCCCCCTAACACACACACACACACAAATACACTCAGAGGCAGAGACATGCATCTGTGTCATGTCCTCTGGAATCAATAACCAATCAAAGCAATCATTGCCTTTATAGTCCCTCTAAGACACCACAGCAATCACACACATGCCCAGTAGACACTCAGACTCATACACGACCATGCGGCGACCCCAGATTACACACTCCATCTCACTTCTAGTTTAACCAGGCCCATTGAGGATTATAGATACATAATGCCATGTGTACAGATTAGGTATGACAATAAACTACTGATAGCCAAAGTAAGCCCTGCCTTATTGTGTGTGTGTGTATGTCTATGTGTGTGTGTGTATGCCCACTAATACTGTACTGGCATGCATGAATAAACATGATGTGTAACAGAGCTGAATTGGAATGACGTCTCAGCAGAGACACACAGAGATAGAGCGTGTGCTTGTTTTGTGTATATGTGTGTGCGTGTGTGTGTGTGTGTGTGTGTGTGTGTGTGTGTGTGTGTATGCATGTGTAAGTGTGATCTGTTACAGAGCAGATGAGAAGGAGACCTCAGTTCCCGCATCACATCATTCTGCCAGAAGGCTTTTATACTTGCTCCCAGAGTCACCCTGTGCTACAGACAAATGTGCGAGCGGCACTTAAACACCCTCTCACAGACATGCACACGCACAAACATTGTGAGGAGTGTTTGTATGTCTCTTACTGTTGGCGTCAGTGTCGTCACTCTTGGGAGGGGTGTGTCCTGTGTAACCAACAGCAATCCTGACCATTCGCTCTGGATTTCTTATCTTCTTCAGTCCTACAAAAAGAGAAAAAGAGAGAAAAAGGGACAAAGACATATTTAGGAAACGCTCCAGACTTTGGTTTCCTTGGCAGTCGCGTACCTCACCTCATTCTTCCTCCTCTAAAGCCCAGAAACAAAACTCCAAGTGATATGCATGTGGGCTGATCCATTTTCTGATCCACTAACTTGCATCCATTGTGTCCCCTGATCGATTGGCCACAGTAGATACACTGCCTCCGTGTGTGTGACTAACTTGTACCCAGCTTTAGTTTCTCTTCTCTCTCATCATTTCTCTGTTTCCCTGACCACTGTTGCTATGATACAAAGTAGACCAACCAGCGCAGAGGGAGATGGTCTTCCAAGCTATATGGTGGATATTGTTCTCATGCCCACTGGTGTACTCTGTTGATCGGCGCCATGCACATCTGCCAGGGGATGGAAATAGTGGATAGCTGTCTACTGCCTTTGTCGCTGCGATTCATTTGGATTTCATTCAGCATGGCTGAGGCTCGTAAATTATTACATCCTCTCTACACATAACACTACACTAAGGGGGCAATGGACAAAAAAAACCCTCTACTACTGTGAATACCGTGTGTTTGTTTGCATGTGTGTGTAGGTACAGTACAGTATGAGCAGAGGGGGTAGTTTTATAGTCGTGTGGTTGAGTGCCTGCTGATCTGCCCATGGGCCTTCTGTCTCATCTACAGTTCTAGTCTTTTCACGCAATGGGACTCTCAACCCACGGCCTTCACTTTGCCTCTGGCCACACACACACATGCACGCTTGCCTGCACACATGTATGTGTGTGGGTGTGTGTCTGACTTTAAGTGTTTTACGCTTGAAAACGTGCCTCACAAATGTCTGATGCTACTTGTGTAGTTAAAGTTATCCAAAAATTGCCCCTTAGAGAAATCTTACTCAGCATCGCTCCCTAGTGGAGAGAGGGTCAAAGGCTCCCCCTGTCATTTCCAGTATCACTTCGCTGAGACAGAAATGAAAATAAAAACAATTAAGAACAAGAACAATTAAATAATAAAGCTGAGTAAAGCTCAGTGCTGAATGTCATTGTAGCTTTTAAGTTGTTATGGAACTGTGTCTCATCAAAAACAATACGTTCAGCTGTTATATTTATTTGCTTGACATGTGTCTTTAGGCAATTTAACCCTCTGTGACATCAGCAATACTTAAAAGAGGCAAGAGTATGAAAGCAATACTCAGAACAGACTAACAACCAGCGGATGTTTATAAACAAACGTCAAACACACTAAGGAATAAAGCCTTTATTAACCCATGAGTTGAGCTAGAGATAATATTGCCATGGTGATTCTGGTCATCCCTTAAATAATTCATGAATGAATGAATATCAATCTGAATGAAATGGTGGCTGTGACGATAATGACCCAAAGAGTTTAGCTGAAGGTGTAAAAATTTAAACTAGATTCATACGTGTTATGACCTAAAACTGACACACATACACTCCTCCCCCTCCCCAACCTAAATGCAGCCAGATTCTCACCTTCACTGCCTTAGCAACCATAAGCTCAACACCAAATGAACACAAACATAAACACACACACACAGGCATATATACACACACAGGCCAACACTGGATTGTGACTAAATAAATACACAGCTGGACTGGGAGGTTTGCATGGCTGTCAGGAATGGAAATCTGCGATTCAGTGGTCTATTTTATGCTTACAGAGAAATACAGAGACAGATGAACACACACACGCACACACACACACGCACACGCACAGAAAGCATCTGAATTCCTTCAGCGTGAACCACTCTCATCCTCTCTCATCCCATCCCTTTTATGCTAAACGCTTAAAAAGCACTCATAAACCAGCTACTCAGGGGAAACGCTGGCAAACACCGGACGGTGAAAAACTACCCTATCCCGACTCACTCTGAGCCCACCGACAGGACAACTCTCCTTCCGTTATTTATTTGCTGTCGGTTAACCGTGCTCCACACAGTCGCTGGTTCAGCACCAGCGTCCGTGTTTTCGGGACGGGCTAGAAGAAAGGGAAAGCCCTGCCGTTATCTCTCTCCTCCTCTATGCCTCCATCCCTTCATCGCCTCGTCTGAACCCCGGATAGCAGGACTCTGCCACCTCAAATAAAAACCGTTATTTCTCTCTTACCTTCCGGCTTGTTTTCGGCAGCCATTTCCCCTCCACCGCGCGCCTCATCCCTCCTCCTCCTCCTCTTCCTCCTCCTCCTCCTCCTCGACTCGACCTAGTGGTGGTGGAGGTGGTGGTGGTGGTGGGGAGGGGGTGCCACGCGCGTGCACAGAGAGGACAGCTCAAGGAGGGGGGCGGGGCTGAGAAGAAGGGGTGGGGGGGGACGAGCCTGCCAGCTTCTGCAAGACTATTGGTCCAAACGGTGAGGATTGACAGCGGGGATCCGTGATGGTGACTCGCGGAATTCTCCATCCCTCCGTTTATTCGTGTTGTCCCCGCCCCCTGCCGACGTTCACGCGCATTCTTCCTCGCTCTTTCTCCCTCTCTCTCCTCTCACGTCACTGAACGACGTCTGTATTCGAGGACACCTTGACAGCCTCCCACAGCATCATCATCATCATGCTCATCATCTTCTCTCTCTCTCTCTCACACACACACACAACGTAGGCCTACTCACACATATACATTACATACACACACAGACACACACACGCACGCACACACACACGCACGCAGGAACGCAAAAGTCGCATGAGCGCTCATTTCCTCACATGCAAACCCAGTGTACTGTTGAAAACCTGCGATGTAAGGTCGCGTCTCGGCATAAATTATGAACCCCCCCTTGAATTCAAATGAAAAGAACTGCCTGAAAGAGACTTTTTAGATGCGCGTGGGTTGGCGGGTGCTGTCATTCGCTGTGGTGCTGAAGCTCGCGGTGCTGAAAGGACAGCTCCACACGCGCCTACACAGGCTGTGAGCACTCACTACCTGATTTCTTTGAGCCGTGTTATTGTACTGAAGTGATGATAGGTCAGGTGAAAACTCATGGGATAAAATGAAAAACACCCCCCCCCAACCACCACCACCACCAAAACACACACACACACACACACACACACACACACACACACACACACACACACACACTCCGCCGGTCTCCCCTTGTTGTTGCCCATTTTTGCTCTGGCAGGAAATCGTTGTATCATTGCTCATTGTTAGGTTAAGTTAATAACGAGCCTGTATTCTCACTGATAGGCTATTTATAATTCTGCTGTTTAACACTACGCTATCCTTTCTAAACAGTGGGGCTTAACCGGGACCATTATGTTCTTGTTTCAAGCCCACTCTGTCACTCTGTGCCTCGGGGCAGAATATCTTCTTTGCACCAAAGCCTTATGTTTGACAGAATCCACTCCGTAGACACGCTTCACGGAAAACATAGGTTTTGAATGGTTCGTCCTCAGCTACGTATGCTTTGCGTAGCCTCTGCTTGCACAGGCACACAAGGTTCTTGGCATCGACTGAGTTCAAGCGGGATGAATGACAATGAGGAACATATATAAGACGTGAAGCCAAAAACAAGATCGGTTTCATTTAAACCTTCAAAACTGTCTGTTGTCATGTCGTAGGAACAAAACAACTAATAAATAACAAATCTGTAGCCTTCAACTGATGCACAGCATAATGGCTGGCGGATACACATTCTAAATTAAAACAATGACATATACGAAAAAAATAGCACTAAACTCTTATTTTGAGTAGTGGTGTTTTCACATCCTTTAGGCTTCTAAAATTACTTATACTAAAAAACATTAATATATAATACAACATTATTGGAGTATTTTACATTGTGGTATTGCTACTTTGAAATTGTGGTACTGCAACAATTGTAACAAGCAAAATTAAAAATAAAATTTACTGACAGAAGGGCATCAGAGATTGAAGACAGGAAACAACTACCAACTGGGCAAATTGCAACAACCCCAGACCACAAACACCAACAGCCCGAAAAAGCAATAGGGTCGCAGTTTGGCAGTTAATTGTAGTGATTTTACTCTCTGGCCTGTCCTAGAAATGACCCCTGGGTCAAAATCTAGTTGCTACAGGAAGTTAAAGAACATCATTACTTAATTTGATAGGGCTGACATGTTCCATATTCTTGAATGAATCAATTCACTGGTTATCAATTCAAATAACCAGACAGCAAACCTGGGGCCAGATAGTAGGAAGAATGTCCACAATGCACGGCGCAGGAGGACGGGGGTGGGGGGTGACAGTCATTAATAGTGTAGATCGGTGAATAGTTTACAGGTTGTTTTAAACACACCAGGTAAGATAGATAGAGGTATATAGCGAAGCGACGCTGTCATCATAACTTGGATGTTAATATAGCTAATGTTTTTAATACTTGAGCTATTGTAATTAAAAGTCGTATATTTTTCCGCTGAGTCCAGTAGTTAGTGGCGTTAGAGTGGCGTTAATGAGCGGTGTTAGCCGTTAGACGACGCGTTAGCCTATTCACAGACTGTTTTAACGGAGAAAGAAAGGAAAGAAAAAAGACGGTGACGGACTGCTTTTACACACTGACAAATACCGTACCTTCTAAAAGAAGAAACTTTCCTCACGGTGGTCGCTGCTCTTGTCTGGAGGTGACAAATCTTTTTTAGCACTGAGCTCAAACTCAAACACAGCCAGCAGAGGGCGGTAGGACAACTTCCGCTTCTCGCACGGCTGACCAATGAGCTTCCAGAACACTGGAAGGGTGGGCGGGACCGGACCAAAACCGAACATGGCGGCGTCCGTAGATGATGATTTTGAGTTAAATAACCAGGACTATTACTCTCTACTCAACGTTAGGAAAGAGGTACGATTCTTTCTGTGTTTTACAGCGAAGCCCGACGATGACCGTCTTTTGTGTGATTGTCGGATGGACCTCTCTTGATAATGTGCAGTCAGTGCTACATCGTTGAGTTGAATAGCGGTCTTCTCCATCAGCACCATCATCCGTGGGGGCTGAGACCGGCTGGTGCTGCAGAGACATGGACATGAAAGCTATTTAAAACATGTACTTTATATAATGCAGGCAATGTAGTTTAGAATGCACGTATCATAGGTACCATATCTGCACCGATGAGCACTATGAGAGCCTAATCTGGAGGCCTGACTAGGATTTGCACTTGGATGTTCGCCTGGATAACGTTTGGTAACATTTGGTAGTTACTGAGGCAGACACTGTAGCGTAACGGAAAGGTTTAATGTAAGCGAACTGGTGGCTGTTTTTCAATTTCCCTAAATTGGAAGCTTTATTGCAGCAGTGTTGTGTCAGCACTCAGGAGTGGGGCTGAAATGATTAATCAACTAAGTGAAAATGAATCTGCAACAATTTTGATAATCAAAAAAACAATAAAAAATACTAGCTCCAACCTCCCAAGCCTCTTATGTGAAGATGTTCTGCATTAATTATATGATAGATAATTGGACTGGTCTGTTGTTTGGACACAACCAATAAATATGAAGACCTCATCTTTTCTGATATTTTACAAACCCACCAATTAGTCAATTAATCACCAAACTTACTCAGGAGAGAAACCTGTCCTCTCTTTAATTACAGGCTACATTGGAGGAGCTAAAGGCGTCGTATCGAAGGCTATGTATGCTCTACCATCCTGACAAACATCGAGACCCAGAGCTGAAAAGACAAGCTGAGCAGCTTTTCAACCAGGTGCACCAGGCGTATGAGGGTAAATGGAATTTAAACAATTTTTTAAATTGCCATTCAACATGAAAAAATACAGCTGAAATTAAACAGCCCAAAAAAACACAATAATGCTACATAAACTGAACAGTGACTCCTCTCTCTCCTCTCAGTGCTGAGTGATGCTCACTCCAGAGCCATATATGACATCTTTGGGAAGAAAGGGCTGGAGGTGGAAGGCTGGGAGGTGTGTATTCTGTCTAATAACCTTTATATCTCACAGTTGAGTGGTTTTGCTGCCCCATTATACATACAATATTAACGAATCTTCACTACCAATATCTTATGGCGATGATGCTGTGTAGGTGGTGGAGAGGAAGAGAACTCCAGCAGAAATTCGAGAGGAGTATGAAAGGCTGCAGAGAGAAAGAGAGGAGAGGAGACTGCAGCAAAGAACTAACCCCAAGGTTTTGTCAGTCAAAACTACTTCATATTTCTTTGTCAGCCTCACCACTTTCACTATATTTCTTGTATGGGCCATTACTGTTATGCAGATGTTATTAAATCACAACTTAATTTTGACTGTGGGTGGTTTCCACATTCATTTCATTATGTCCCTCACCTTCTTCCTTCTTTGTTAATTAATTATGTCAATCTCTCTTCTTCATGCCCTCATTATTCAGGGCACCATCAGTGTTGGTGTGGATGCAACAGACCTGTTTGATCACTATGATGAGGACTTTGAAGAGATGCCAGGAGGAGGCTTTCCTCATATTGAAATCAACAAGATGCACATTTCCCAGTCCATAGAGGTATAACAGAACACACTCACTCCGCATTTACCTTCCACACAGCTACTTACCTGGGCCAAGATCACTCTAGGATTCAGTGTTTTATCAGGTGCCAATTTTTTGTGTTTCTTCAGGCTCCTTTGACGAACTCTGACACAGCAGTGCTGTCTGGTTCACTCTCTACACACAATGGGAATGGAGGGGGCAACATTAACATGACTGTACGAAGGGTTACTTCAGCCAAAGGCTGGGGAGAGGTACACGCATAGTACATGCAAAATATAAAGCACAATACAACCTGTAGAGGCATGTTTTGAAGAGGCCATTTAAAAGCTTCATTTACTAAATGTTAGGCTGGGATAATACAGGTTTGTTCCCCTCTGTAATCACATGTTTCTGTGCATTCGTCTCTGCAGGTGGAGTTCGGTGCAGGAGACATACTGGGACCGCTTATTGGGTTAAAGGTGTTTCGCAATGTCACTCCTCGGTGGTAAGGCCCAACTGTTTGCCATGAGGAACAATATCACACACTGTATCAACATAAGAACAACATTTTCCCTCTCTTTAATTTACTCCCTTTTTAATTTCCTCTCTGTCATTTCTCTGGCCAGTTTCTTGACAGCCCAGTGCGGTTTGCAGTTCTCTCCTCGAGGTTTGCGACCCAGCTGCTCTCTGATGACAGCACGCCACCTGGACCAGAACACCATGGGTTACCTTCAGTGGCGCTGGGGGCCCAATAGCGCCATGACGACCAGCCTGGTCCGAGACACAAAGAGCAGCCACTTCACTCTAGCTCTGCAGGTACACACAAACATGTTCACCAGCAAACTTTGGTAGGAATGTACATGCACTGGCTGTCATTATGAGGAATAAGGGTTGTACTATAACTGAAATTTGCTGCACTGAAACCCGTGGTTTGCATTTTTTCACTCTATATATGCTTCTTCTGGCCTCCCAACGCCACCTTCTTCCAGCTGGGTGTGCCTCACTCCTACCTGATGATGAGCTACCAGTACAAGTTCCAGGATGAAGACCAGACTAAAGTTAAAGGCTCTGTCAAGTATGTCTGTTGATGTTGTGTCTAAGTACTTAAGTAACCTTTAAACCAACTGGTTTAAATTAAACCAACTAGTTTAAAGAGAAAAGGGAGGGATAATGAGTAAAACTATAACAGTGCACACATCCTGCCGATTAGCTGATGCAGCTTCCATATCAGTGCTTTTTGAATGGTAACTGAACACCAACTGTTTTCAGTTCATCTTGTTTTTGAAGACCTCCGGTAGAAGTGAACTACAACGTGTGTCAGGACATATTACTATTGGGTGTGGTCAAAGGTGCAACAGGCACATCTTTGCTTTTCTGCCTGGTGTTAAGTTGTCCTTCTTGTTTTTGCAAGAATAATGAAAGTTTTTCTAGAAAACATATTTACTAATTTGCAGGAAGCAGTTTGTATTTTCAGTTCCTAGTTATGTCGAGATCAAAAAAATAATTGTTGGTGAATAAAACATGAGAACATAGCTTTTATGGCCTTACATATCAAACATCCTATATAAACCATTTATGACCTGAAAATCATTATTTCTTTGACTTGGAGCTTTTCATGCAAAAAAATACAGAGAGCTTTCCAGAGGCAGGAAAATAAAAGACAATGACAGGACATAAGCAGCATTAAAAGAGCTGCAGGAAGTGAAAAGCGGTTAACAATTAAACAACATAGTAGAAAAATGTAAAGCGAGTAAACACACTATAAAAGAAATAAAACATTCATAAATACAGACATTAATTTAAAAGGCAATTTAACAGTAAGGGAAAGAAAATATATAAGTTGTTAAAAACACAATTAGACACACATATTTGATCCCTAAACAATTTTAATCCAGCTGTACTGGCTGTTTGATTTATTTCCTCTCATTCTGCCCATGGTATTGTCTTCAATAGTTGCCTAGCTCCATCTCTCTAATAGTCTCTGTTCATTTCTGTTTCCCTCCCCTTCCAGGACAGGCTGGTTTGGCACTGTGGTGGAATATGGAGCAGAGAGGAAGATCAGCCGACACAGTGTCCTGTCAGCCACTGTCAGCATCGGCGTCCCACAGGGAGTCACACTCAAGATCAAGTACTGGCCAACCCAGAATATGACCTCATTCTTTTGTGGGTCTTTACACCACTGCATGATAATCTAATGTACGTGCCTGTTTGTGCTGGTGTTTCCATGCAGGTTGGCGCGTGCCAGTCAAACTTACCTGTTCCCAGTCCACCTGACAGATCAGCTGCTGCCAAGTGCTGTCTTCTATGCCACTGTGGGACCCCTGTTGGTCTACATGGCCGTCCACAGACTGGTCATCATCCCATACACGCATGCACAGAAACAGCAGTCAGTACATCTCCTCATTCAGCATCACATTTCTTAGTACTGGGCTGGTTTTCATTTATAATAGTAATTCATCACTGTTCAGGCTGAATTCTGTCTTTCGACGTCATTTGTGTGTACGCATAATAAATCGTAAATGCTGAAACTGTCCTTCAGCTGAAGGCAACTCCACATCCCACATAGGCAGAAATACAGCGTTTTTCAGTTTTGGGTGTTGTTAATACTAGAAGGGTGTCTTTCATGCCTCCACAGTGAATCCCAGCGGGTGATTGTTGATGTCTGCTTTGTCTGTCTCTGTGCTTCTCAGAGAGTTGGAGCTGCAGAGGAAGAGCTCCGCCACAGACATCGCCAAGAAGAAGCAGGAGGCAGAGTCTGCTGTGAGCACTCACACACTCGCATGCAAACACACCGTAATTCATTGTGTGTGGGGGATCATTGATCATTGTTTCTAGCTCTCCGCATCTCGTCTGAAAACCTCTCTCCTCCTCTATCCTATTCTGTTTCACTCTCCTCCTCCTCCTCCTCCTCCTCCTCCTCTTTCTCGCATACACACTCTGCAGGTTCTGCTGATGCAGGAGTCTGTGAGGAGAATCATAGAAGCAGAAGAATCCAAGATGGGTGAGGGAAGACACACACACTCAGTCTCTCTCTCTCTCTCTCTCTCGCATACACATATACTCACAGACATTACACCAGGGTGAGAAACTGAGAACCTTTTTAATTTGCAGCCAGTCAGAACTTGGTAAAAATCCAAATGTGTAATTCAAACGCATTTCTCATGGTTGCTGTCAACGGCATAATATACTGTAGCTTCAGGAGTCTGTTTAGCTAAGTCTGACTTCCATCATCTCTTGCTTCATAGCAAGAGATGATGATGTAGCCCATCTCCATGCTGCAGTGTTTACATAGGTGGCGCTTGTAAATCTGTGCACAGAGCACCAGAGTGCACACTCAAATAAATCCAAACTGTGATGTCAGTGTGCTAATGGATTTTCTGTTATATTTATGTAGAGAGAGCATGTGATTATTTGAAGAGCCACTCTGTGGGATGTTGTTATGGCACCTTCTAGATGCTCTGTGTAATGAGTATGGCTACACATTGCTGCATATTATTAATATCAAGCTAACATAGGAGCAGGACTGTTTGCATGCTGTGGGAGGAATTTACACATGTAAATATTGTGTATTCTGTACATTATCCCTGCATATCTTTGTTTTAAACATAGATGGAAATACTTTTACCATTTATCGCTGTCTAGGTCTGATCATCTTGAACGCCTGGTATGGAAAGTTTGTGTCTGACACCAGCCAGAAGCAGGAGAAAGCAAAGGTCATCGACGTCACTGTGCCTCTGCAGTGCCTTGTCAAAGACTCCAAACTCATCCTCACAGAGGCCTCAAAGGTGTGTGTGTTCACATGTCAGTGTTTGTGACTGCGCATTTTTAGATGTGAATGCATTGCACATGAATGGTTTCTCTGTGTAGGCAGGGTTACCCGGCTTCTATGACCCTTGTGTAGGAGAGGAGAAGAGTCTTAAATTACTGTACCAGTTCAGAGGTGTGATGCACCAAGTCATCTCTGCAGACACTGAGGCTCTACGGATACCTAAGCAATGTTCGTATGCAGCAGTCCAGTATTATTATCCTGTCACTGCACACTTATTACAACATTGCTAAAGCCTATATGCAAGCATCCATGTTGAAATTATTTTTTGTCTTTTCAGCTCACAGAATTGAGACTGAGTCCTAGGAGCTCACCACTGTTGGAGCACCAGAGGGCAGATGTAGATGAAACAGACTTTGTGTACACAGAAGAACCCATGAATGGAGAGGACACATCAAAAATAAGTCAGTTTCTTTCCTCCAGTCCTCTTCTGTCATGGTATTAGTGAACCTGTTTATTGACTTCCTCCACTCCTCCCTTTCCTGTGGGCCATCTCCCAGGTTCAGCAAAATACAGGAGTCAGCTCAGAGTTTCTTTGAGTCTCTAGTCGGCTACACCTGACAGGGCTGCTCAAATATCTGCAGGACATCAGACAATGGCCCTGAACATAGTTTTATATATGCACTACACAGAGGGACTTGTAGTCACTGCGGATGTGGTGACCATTCCCTTCAGCGATGAGCTAAACGTGCACAGATTTAAAAAAAAAAAAAGTTTCTTGACATTTGTTATGTCAAGTGTATACAAATGAGCTGTGCTGTAATTTTACCCCTTATCATTGTAGTCTTTAGTCTTTGTATGTGTATCACCCTGGTAGTTTTGAATCTAATAATGTTATAACATACCAGAGATTTCACTAACTCATGCAAATGTTTAGAACAACACTATGCAGGATCATGTCTGTGTCCCTGAGGCTGCCCAGGACTGAGGAATGGTTGTGTAACTCATGTTTTGTTTACTTGTTGAAAACGTCTCATCCTGATTCATCATGCCTTTCAGTGGCATGTCTGCTGCTCATTGAGCTGTCAGTCAGCAGGTGCAAACTGGTGCTCAAAACTTATATCCGTGAGGGATCGGATTTGGAGGTAGGAGGAGGGATAGCAATGGGAGGGAAAGTGATAGTGATGCCCTCTGACGGTCATGATCCAACCAAAGAGACAGGGTTGAATTCTCTACACAGATTTTCTTTTTCAACATCTCAGGCTAGACTGCATTTTAAAGGCAGAAATTCCACGTGGATTCGGTTTGCGTCAGAGTTTATTGATTATCTCAGTGCAGTTGCAGCCAGAACTGTATTTTTTTCCATGATTTTTTTAATACAGTGAAGGCTATAGTTTGTAGATCACTGGTGTATATCTGGCACAAAGCCAGTGATAACAGTAACTAAAGGAATGAATTTGATTTTTTTCTTAAATGGAGTAATTAATGAAGAATCCTTTTCTGGTTGGGATGTGACCAGTAGAGGGCTTAGATCAACACTGTCCCTCGTGTAGGTTGTGTTTGCTGCTGAAGCTGTCATTATGACAGACAATAACTTGCTACTGGAACTGAGCCACACTAAAACCATTTCATTGATTCTGGCCCATTTACATGGTTACATGAATTTGATGTGAACACCTTTCCCGTGCCATATCTTTTAATTTGATATTGTTCTCCGTCCATTTTTTTTTTATTTAAAAATTCTGAATTTAATTCATCTTTAATGCAATATCACTTCTTATACAAAGTATTGTGTAAGATGCTAAAACTACAATTTTCAGTCAGCATTTTTATGCCTGTCACTTAGGTGATAATCTACAGTCTGTAACTCACCATTGGTAGTTATTTTCTGATCAATGTGGTAAGGCTGACATGGGGATGTCCTATGGTGCACTTTCTGTTGAGATATAGGTGTTGTAGCACATAAGTCCCAAAGTTTAATCCTTGTGCTGAGTTAGTGATTTATTCCTCATCTTGTCTGGGAACCCTGTGATGAACTACAGAGAATTCCTGAACACACTACTGTAGGATACATATGGTATTTTACTAAATACAACAGTAATGTTTTGCACAAAATGTACAGTATTTAAAGCTAAATTTTCAGGCTAGTTGACATGAAAGTGGTTCTGAAGCATCAATAGTAGATCTACAATTGGCTTTATACTGAACACCATAGGGTACATCTAAGAAATAGTGAATGATCCTTTTGACTTTATATGGTGTCATCCCCTAATTGATTCTGATTTTGGCATCAGTGGTAAGTTAGAGGGACGTCTGTCGCTGCACGACTCTAGTGAGATAATGGTCTTGGCTTGGGGTCATGATTACAGCAGCCATTTTGCACTGATTCTGTTTGTAGTATTTGTCTCCTCTCTTTAGTTTGAAGTGTGCTGTAAAGTATTTTTGACAGGTCAGCTGGTCATCTCTGCTCTAGTGCCACCGCGAGGCCAGCAGCAAGACTGCTCCCTGCTGTTACATTCAACCCATCATCGAAACCGACCCACATTATGTAAATGTACTGAATGGTTGAGGAGCCTGTGTTCTCTGTCCTGTAAAGACTACAATAAATATGAACAAAACAGATGTGGCGTCTGATTTCAAGAACATTGCAGAAGGACAAGCACATTTAAGAAATGCACTGTGATATTATAAAAGACAAAAAGCAACAAGTTAAAATGGTAACTCTTTATTTACAATAGTTTACAATAGTTTCACAGAAACAGTTTGCACCACAGTACAGACAACGCTTTCTCAATAAGGGGATAGGACAACCCAGGATCGGAATACACGAGCTGTATCACAATGAGCATTGTTAACATTAATTACACTGATGTCTTTAAGACGCAGACTAACGTTAGGAATTTGTACCTGAAGGTGTCTTCAGGTTCTCTTCAGGTTCTCTTCAAGACATTAACATCCTGAGAAACAGCAAATGATTTTAGGTCTTAAAACGTCTTAAAAACATCACGACCTGGGGGATTGCTGAGTACGAACCAGTTAGCCAACATTTGTGTAGAACAATAGCAGAACACAGAGTGCAGAGATGAGCTTAACCATTTGACACTCTTGGAAAGTCTTGTGTTCCTTACAAACCTAACATTCATTGTGTGTGTTAGTCGTTCCCTGGTCAAGTCATTGATTCTGCATTGTAAAACCCCATCCTGGACTAATATCCAAGGTTCCGAGTCTAAAATCTGTCACTCTACAGTATGGCTTTTGTATAATCAGAAACAACATGTAGCCTACACAGACAGGCCCAACAGCAGATGGCACATGAATAACAAAGCTTAAAATCTTTTATCCAAATTGCAGCAAGGTTTAAGAAAAAAGTGAAAAAGTGAAAAAACATTTTTTTTCCCATTAAACCTCCGGCACATGGAAGTAACTGAATACTGCTGTGAAAACATTAGCGAGAGGTGATAAGAGACTGAGATCTGTTCTTCTGATCTGACCCTTCAGAGACAAACAAAACAAACCGACCTTGCCCACAGTACTTTGCAGATATCCATTTCTCAATCTTACAAAAACCAAAAATTATGGGGCTTGGTTGAGACAACTCATAGCAGCTCATGCAACACCTTCACACAGTGTTAGCCATTCAAACAAACACACACTCACATGCATAATTTTAACTGGACTCTTGAGTGAATCTCTAACAATTCTTCCAGTTAAGATAGCTTTTTTTCTGTTGATACTCAAACAGGACGGCCACTGGAGTTCCCTTCTCTAAATATATTTGTCTCTGAAAACTTTGCCTTGAGCATGAAACAGCTGAAAACTAAGGAAACTTTAAATAACGGTTTGTATAATAAAAGTATTTGTGAACAATACAACTCTCCAACTTTGTCATGAAATAAATCAAAATCATGCTGACCACAGGCAACAGAAAACACCTTTACTGGAAACGGTCATGTTGTCCTAATCTTATCAATTATCTGGGGGTTTTTAAACTGCAAACAATATTCTTTATTGTGAAAGAACTTCTGGTGAAATAATAACTCTCTTTGAAGATTTCTGAGAAACATAGGATATAAAAGTTCCACGTGTGGTCAAGTAACATCTTGATTCAGACGGGTGGCTGAGGCTGGAAGACAGCTTGTGAAATGAAAGGGAGAGGGACAAGCACTTGGTTCAGTTGTAAGGGCTTAAAGCCTCAATGATATTCTTTCACAGTGTCTTAGATAACAAAACAGACCAACAAGCAGATGAAGCAGATGCAGACTCTAGTCTCTTATCCTACATCTTTGTTCTATTGGATTATACCTCAGCTTAATACTATAGCACCATCTGAAGCAATTAACACAAGGTTTAACTTATTTCTCTTTTTTTCTTTTTCTTTTTTTTTTTTTTAAAACGGTTAATTGTATAACATTAATAGAGGCATCTTTGAGAAATCAAATCCAGTTTAATCAGAAAGACATACCTGTCCCTATAACAGAAAGGTCAGATGGTTTTAAAACTAAGAAAAAAGTGAAAAAGTGCAAACAGTCTTTCCCACAAATCCCAGCATGCACCATAGTGGGTGGCAGTTGTGAGGGGGTATTCTCTCTATATGGCAGTTCAAATGTTTCCAGTGTTCACGAGACACCAAGTCCCAACAGTAGCGGTTTGCTGCTATGTTAATGTCATCTACAGACAGACATCCATTCAGTGATTGCCTTACGCACAGAGTCTGTAGGGAAGCAGAAACAAACCTATGTAAATCTAAAATAGCACTCAAACTGTTTTCAAATGGAGTAAGGGCTTGGGATAGGTCCACCAAAGTGTTTATAGAAAATGTGGGTCATGGCTGACCATAAGGGACAGAGACTGAATGGTCCAAGACCTGAATTTGAGGAAGGGTCAGTCCAGCAGGTGGAGGAGAGGCAAAAGAGGAAGGGGTCAGGGTTCATGGTTCAACTTGGGGTCAGTCTAGCAGGTGCTTGCGCGGGCCTACGCGTGAGCGGTGGGAGCGGCGGGCATCTGGGGCTCCGTGTGTCTCTCGGCAGCTCTGGCACACATATGTCTCTGGCACGTGGCTCTTGCGGATCTTAGCGCACGACAGGTGGATCCAGGTGTTACATTTGTTACACTCAATCATGGCCCGGCCTGCAAAAGGCTTCATGCAGAAACATGTGACCAGGTCCCACGAATCGTCATCTGAGGAGACAAGAGAGAGAATCGACTGAGTCAAGTTTGGCCATTTTGTCAAACTTGTAACAAAGCAATATTCGGACCAAAACAAGACCTCACCTGAATCTACCATGATGTCCTCATCCTCTCCTGATCCATCCTCGTCTCTGAACACCACCTGTTTCCCCTGGCGGAACACTGTTCTGTTTCCTGAAAAGCCCTCCACCTTCTGTACCTTTACCACTCCTTCTTCAAGGTCTCGACCATCCCAGTATCTACGCTCCTCCTTGGGCTCTTCCTTGCAGGGGGAAGGGCTTGGCAGTCGCTCGGGGTGGAGGGGAATGCTGATATCATCCTCAGGCTCTTCTTTGATCGTTCGGCCACCAAAGGAGACAGGGTACTGCAGCTCTGGGACTGATGAGTGGGCCTGCTGAGCCTCACTTTCCTCACCAGCTTGATGCTCCCTCTCCTTTCTCCTCTTCTTCTTCTTCAGCTTGTCAGCTTTCCTGCGGTCGTCTGGGTGCAGGGTAGCAATTGTGTGCTGTAGAAGAGAAAAAAGGGTATGTACGTCAAAAGGGATGAAGATGAACATATAAAAAGGTGTGAGGGTGTGGTGAGACATCAATTCAACTCACATCTTTCTTGGTGTGACTGGACAGCGTGGCTCCTGGCTGTGGACGTTTCCTGCTCCTGTCCTGTGGGACCTTGGGAGGGCGCTGGGGGCAGGAGGCTGGGGGTCCTGGGGTCCAGCCATCACTGTCAGCTGTGCTGCCTGTACTGTTGGGTGGGCTGGAACTACTGCGCAGTGGAGAGTCCTGTAACAATAAATGGACAAGTAGGGGTCAATGAGTGAAGAAAAAAAAAACAAAAAAAAACAAAAAAAAAAAACAGCTCAGATTCAAAATGTGTATGACAATTCTTTGCAAACATTCATCTACTCAACAATAAGATGACGATAATCTATGATATTCCTGATTACCAATCAGTACATTGCCACTGGAACAAACATAGCCATGATATACTGTTTTAGTTTAAAGGCCTATACGTGGGTAAGGTGCAGCTTCAGGCTATTAAATTTAGCTGTCTATAGTTTTTTAACTGAATGAGTTTAACTGTGTCCTCAAAAAACTTAAGGAAGTGTCAAAAATTCCCTTGTATAACAATGTAACACAGCTGGTATTATAAATCAATTTCAAAGAGCCACCAGTAATGAGAGTGCAGGCACTGCTAAAGTACTGTCATGACAGCTTGAATGTCAGGCTGCACTATTACTATTGCATTTTTCAATTTCAATTTTGACCTCTATGAGCTACCATTCTTGCATGACTTCAATTATGTTGTATTTGCATTAGCAGGTTGATCTGAGGCACAGAACCCATCAGCAAGTATCAACAGATGACAAGACATTCTTACAACATATGACGAAATATGCACAGGAAGGGGGGTGGGCAGGGGCGGAAATGAAAACAAATGTAGCACGTGTTAGAGAAAAACAGAAGAGCAACATGGTGAAAGAAAAACCTTCGAAGGAACAACCACAACTAGAACAAAATGAGTCAGAATTTAGAAACCACTGTCGCTGATGGTGAGGAAAAGGAAGTTAATTTGTCAAACATAAGTTCTGACAAAAGAAATTGTATTCATACTGGAAAAAAGGGTTATCACATGTTATTGCCTGTTTTTGGTTTCAAAGGAAATTAAAGGTTTTTTTTTTTTTAAAAAAGCATGTACTATTCAAGTAATGTTTAGCCACAGTGCAGTAACACAACAAATTTCGATGAAGCTATCAAGGGTGTGACAACTTTACCAGAACATCCCTCCAACCTGGAGGGTCTTATCTGTGGGAGTTTAGAAGAGAAAAAAAATGGTGTAACAACAGACTGGATCCAACGCTGTAAAAGGAGTGTACAAAATAGTATTCTCACCATGTGAATTAACTGCTGTAGTCTGTTGTGTAAAACGAAAAATTAAGGTTAGTTCTTAGCAGAGGGTGTGTTGACACTGAAACAGACACTTGAAGCCAAAGAGACTACAGAGACAAAAGAATCTGTTTAAGATAATTTCATTGTCTGGATATCTCCCTCCCTGTCCTCAAACAGAAGATGCAATTCAATGAGCACAAGAAAACTCAATGTCTCACATCCAACTTGCTGAGTTGACAGATTTCAAGATTTAAGGATTTTACTCTACTGATTACATCCATGTGGTCTATAAATATCTGATCTGAGTTTTAACCATTAACTTTCTCTTCAATTCATCCATATAGTGGGCACAAAAAATTGTTTATTTATTGTCTTCATTAATTTACCACAAGCATCTTGATTTCATTGAACATAAGGTAGGCCTTTATGTTCTTTTTTTTTAATCCTTGATGGATTTTTAAAATTATGTTAATCACTGTATCGGTATCTTCATTTGATTTCGCTTTTAGTTTAGTTGTTTTTTTCTACTTTACCAAATGTTTATTTGACTTAAGTTTGTTCACATTAGGAAACGTGATGCAACACTGAGAAACAGTCCTCAGGATGGTAACACAGCTGATTAAGACGAGTGCATTCACTTAAAAAATACGCTAGTTAAACCCAAATTTACAGGTGCTAATGTGCAGATGAGTGTGCAGGCGCTGCCCGCGTCATTTACTCACCTCTTGGGGGTATGGGATGTAACCGGCATAGGCCAAGACAAAAGTGCAAAACTTGTTAAAGTCCTCTACTGTCCTCCTCCTCCTGTACGGCGGACTGAAACCCTGAAACACAGTCATGTCATTGAAACATGTTTTGCATCAAACCCAAACACATCCCGACATGGCGTTGACGTTAACGAGAGCTGATCGCCATACAACTATACTCTGCACACCGACACTCAGCGTTGGCTCACTGCGACGTAAACAAACGGAAAGAAACAATACAATAACATGTTGACTAACATGGGCTAAAGTTTAATTAACTGCATGGACATTTCTCTCTGGACTCGCCTGAGAACCTTCCTACCAACCCCCACCGATTAGCACCAACTAAAAACGACAGCTAATGTTAGCTAGGTCGGCTAGCAATAGACAGCAAATAAGTAACGCTACAGAGGCTAGCTGCTGGCTAGTGTCGGTGGAGTTCAGATGTCAAACAAAACTATGAAGCCACACATGAATTCGTATTACAGATTATCAAAGAGTCACGAAAGCGTCAGTATTATTATAGCCAATTCTTAGCTGGCAATAAAAGCGTATGTCGTGAATGTGAAGCTTAGTTAGCCAATGTTAATGTTAGCATGCTTCGCAATAATGAAGGAATGTTTTCTTTTCGATGAAATCGTAAGCTAACGCTAGCTTTAACCATGACATCACTCTTACAAAGTACCGTCTGAAGTAAGGTTAATGACTCATTTACACACAAAATGTCAAGTTTTAGTGGTGAAAGTTGGCCGTTTGATGCAAGCTTGTCCGAGTGTTTAACGTGTGTAACTTATCTAATTTCTGCAGCAGTAGCTAACATTAGTGAGCTAACGCTAACTAATCAGCAGCTGCTATACCGTGTGGTGACAGACCTCGGGCAAGTTGACGTCTGCTAACGTTGTTAGCCATGACTGCAAACTATTCACCGTCAAACAGTCACATAAAACACTTACCTCCGACTGAAATGCATGAGATGTCGATGGGTTTATGTCACCCATCTTTACTAGGCATCCGACCACCTGGCGTTTTGTCGATAACGTGACAGGCTACAGCAACGGGCTACTCGATGCCACCGTAAACACCGAGGTTACCTAGCTAACACCTAACGTTATAGCTAACGTTAACGTTACCTATGCTAAACTCGAAGCAACAGTCTTCACTCAGTTTACCACCAACGATAACATGACTTGGACCATCGCCCAGAACAACCAACAAGCGTTAGCCAGTTGTATCAAAGTTGTAAAACGTGCCTCCTGTTAACGTTACTACTATGTTTCCATCGACCTGTCCGATAACGTCTCCCTTTAATCCAGTTTACTGACTGCTGCTGGGGGAGCGGTTCACTTCGGCTGTCACCAGCTGCCTGCCCCCCTCTTCTTCTTCTCTTCCTCTGTTTCGTGTCTATGCCAGCTAGTGAACGAAACGATGCATTAACGCCCTCATTTGGTGTGTGGTGTGTGTCAGGATCGATTCCCTATGTTTCAAGACATAAAAATGCGAGTGATTTGAAAAAAAATATTTGTAACTAAGGTCAAACGTAAAAAATATGCAAAACAGGTTGTTAAAGGGAGGGTTACTATGAAATAGTAAAAATACATCTTCTCAATCAACGGAGCTCTTCCAGGATGCTGAAACAAAAGTAAATGCAAATTATCTCCCGAACTTTCATAGCAAAGTATCTCATTAATCATAAATTAATTTCTTTACAATTGGCCTTTTATGTGATGCTTTCCTATTTAAAATCTGTTGGGTCTCGAGAAACCATGTGGCAATCCTATCTCCCTGCGTCTTTTGTACATTTAATTTTATGGAACCATTGACCAAAGCTGGATTTACAACTGGTCAAAACCCTGAACTCCTCACATTCACTGTATGTCTTTTAGTTTCCTGTACAATTTGTTGGAGAACATCAGTCTATTTTCTTAAATTCTTAATTGTCGGTCACACTGTATTTTTTCCCCATTTAACTAATTTGGTGGTATCTGTAAAACACAACAGTCAGTGCAAACATATGAAATTCTGTTCTATATAGTGTGAAGTTTTAAAATCAAACATGGTCGACGCTTGGAATGATTGTATTTCAGATGATAAGTCACTTTGCCTACAGCCACTTCCAAAGAGCTCTTATCTTTAATCCACTTACGTAGTTAAACATAAAACTTGTTCTCTGTAGCCTATAAAATTAAAAGCTGTGATTAATTCTTTTCCCAATGTAAAAATAAAACTACTGATAACTGCAATTCCAACATGCTTTCCAGCACTCTTTAATGCATTGGTAAAAATAAGTAGAATAATTAATTTCTCTACATAGATTTGTTAGAAAAAATATTATAAAAAATTATGGTAGTTTAATGTGTTTTTTTCTCAGGTTGCAATATAATATGTTACTGTAAAATTCATTGGTATTTTTTCATATCAAATGCAAAATTTCACAGGCAAAATGTCTTTAAATCTGGTCTGAAGTTGGAGTCTTTGTCAATATAAGAAAGAGAAACATGATCATGATCAACATAATCAAAAAAAAATTGGATGATTACCTTTTGTATCTTAACTCTGCACTTGTTTTTATTCATTTACTATTTTGCCAAATAAATGTTTAATTAATATATGATATGGTAATGTGCTATTGAGGATCCTAGAAGTCATGGTCGGCTAATTTCCCATGACTTAGATGCAAATTCAGCTTCAGTATATGTGAATTGCCGACTGTCATGCAGGGGGCGCTAATGTAATGAATTGGATGCCAACCGTCTGAATACCAACGAAGAAGATTTTCCCGACGGAAGTCTCCTTTCTCGTGTTCCGGTAATTGTGAGTTTTCAAGGCTGTCCGCGGGTCTCTCGCTACAGCTTGAGAGTGAAACTCAGAAATATTTTCAATATAAGTTTCGTGTTCAACATGTCGAACACCAGACTGCAGACTTTTCGGAGCTTTTTAACGGAGCGGTTTACCACTGCGGCTGTGGAGATATTTGGAGAAGTTGAGACTATTGTGGAGGCGTATTATGAGGAAAACAAACGTCTGAGGAACATACTGCACATGGTGCTCCACCCCGAGATAAAGTTACCGAGGATAGGTCAGTCACTTTAGTTCAACTTACACAGTTCAGCTGAGCAACGTAAGCCGCTATAACGTAACTCTAATTATTGAGTCACAGCAATACGAAGTTTATGTGTTTCTGCGTCGACCTGTAAAAGAGTTGGCTGGAGTACGCAGAGCAATGTAAACAATATGAAGTTATCGTGAGCAGTCTAAATCTAACAGTTTTGTTCTGCTGTATGTCTGCTCTACTTAGGCCTACGTTATATTTTTGAGAGGAGTAATAGTTATTTGTGAGTTATGAATTCACAACAGTCTAATGGGTGCATTTATACACTCAGGTGTCAGTTTATTAGGAACACCCAGCCAGAACTAATAGTCTAATACAAAAGTAATAAATCCTCCTTCGCGAAGGTTTCAATGTGCAGCTTTTGTTGAAACTGTATGGAAGTGGTGCCAATCATTTTTAAGGCTGTAGTTTGTGGTGCTGTTGAACTACATTGTATTATGTAGACATGAGTTCCCATTATTTTGTCCACTCCATTAGAATGAACGAGGGTAGGCTAAACAACACACACCTCATTGTATAACGCAATGCAGCTCAATAGCACCATAATCTACATCCTCCAAAAACAACATACACGTGAATCAAAACTTGTTTAACACAGTTTAGTCAAAAACTGAACATTATAACCTTCAACGTAGAATTTATTGCAGGACTGGTGTATTAGATGGCATTAGTTTTAGCTAGGTGTTCCTAATAACCTATTTTGTGGTATAGATTTGTGCTATGATCTTGAACTCCAGACGTTGTGTAACCCCAGCAGTAAATGTAACTAAATACTGTACCAAACTACAGTTTAGAGGTAATTGTACTCCACTTGGTTACTTCTGCTTTATGTTTGTATGTACAGTGTCATCCCAAAGTGTAATAATTATATTTATGTCAGAGGGAAATGAATGTTTCCTGCTACTTTGCAGTATTACAATTTGCATACAAAAGTCATAGAACTACCCTACAGAATGGAGTAGTTAAAATAGGCCTTGCCCTGATCTGCCACTAAATTAAAATGTTGCTTATACATTATGTCAATGCATCTGTGACAGTGATAATTTTTCATAAACATGGAAAGTCCATTTTTCTTCTGTCCACTAACTTTGTTTTCTGGTGTATAAAAGAATTGCATCTAAAATAATTGCTGTATCTACAGGCTCCTTACACCTAAAGTGAAGTAAGAGATGTATAGTTAGTAAATGTTGGTGTTTTTCTTCCTTCCCTGTGGTAGATGAAAGTCAATGCTCCAGAATAACCACAGATGTAAGAGAGCAGCCCCCTAAGTTGAATACTGCAGTAGACCTGGAAATATCAGAACCGCTGCCAAAAAAACCTAAAGAAGAGCAAATTGAATGTGATATAAGTTTAGGATCACAACAACAAGAACAACAAGAAGACATGGGGGAAGTCCATAACACATTTAACCCAGGCTGTGTGAAAGATGACCCGGATGAAGAAGACACAAACATTCCCTGCACTGCTAACTTGTTCTGCATTCAAGTGGTGGAGTACACCCCCAACTCTTCAGCCACTCTCTCAGCCGATGAAGCAAATGATGAACACGACGACAATTCCTCATTGGGCTCAGATGCAGTCACAGATGACCCACAGCCATTCAAAAGTGAAGAAAGTGCAAGTGAAAACTGGGAAACACAAAAACATGAAACGTCACAGACAAGGGTAAGCTTGACAAAAGGCCTCAGAACCCAACAGATCTAAAGCATTTGATGAATAAACCTTTCACTGTGACAGGCTGGAGAAGCTTTGTAATGTAATGACAAAACATGTTAATGTACTATATGCCTTTTGTTTAATGTAGCATCACACAACAACAGATTGATTATCAATTAACAGTTGATTCATTCACTTTATCTAGCAAATATTCTGTAGTAACCTCAGAAATGTGAAGAGTTGTTTGCTTTTTTCCTACCCCAAGTGCATGTATATAGTTTGTTTCAGCTGTGTCTGGGGAAAATGTGGACATTTTTAGTGCAAGTCTCCAGCCATGGGAAAGGGTAAATTAAATACTGGATCACATTTTCAGTGTATAATTTGATAATCACTTCCAGAGGTTATTCTGAACCCACACAGTTAAGTCAGTATTTGTACCTTAATACCTTAAATTTACATCAGCTGTTCTCAAACCAAGAAATCCAGATTTGCCCCTTCTGGTTCACTTAAACGTAACTTTTAATTCGGTTTAACTTGAGGTTTTTTCCTTGAACTCTTCCCAGCCTGAGTCAAATGAGCTGAACTTTTACTCAGTCAAATGCGACTCCCACAACAAGATGCATATATAGTAGTTTCTGGGTCGGAGGATGTCCTGGAAATATGCAGGAAAATTATAAAATAAAAACAGTGGAAAAACATCTTGATGCCTTTAAGGATTTGTGCAGAATGTTTTATTCACATTGCAAGCCTGGTTTGTTTTTAACAGTTGAAGCATGAATAATTAGTTTTTTTCTTTTCTTGGGTGGGAATCAAAATACAAGAAGTCAAGGCAGTCCCTGCAGAAAACCATGCTAGAATTACCAAGGTAAGAATAGGGAATCTCTGAATGACTACATTTTTTTGAGGCAGTGCTACCCATTTGTTTGCATAGCTAATAATATTCATCTGTTTCATACAGGATGATGGCCTACAAATCTTCAATTGTTGCACCACCTGACAGTCAGTCCTTTTTGGCAAGGTTCACTGAAGCCTTTAAGGATGTCCCAGATGACCGGAAACCACTGATAACCAAAATGGGCCTGACAGCAGAAGTGGAATTGGTGGACTGTGCTTTTGGTAAAGTCCCTAAAGGTTGCCCCCTGTCCTACCAGTACCCTGTACCATCAAGTAAGGATTACAAGACTTATGACAACGCTCCTCCCCGACCGCTGCTTCCCCTGTCTTATCACAAACTGGTGCCAGTGTCGGCTCTTCCTACACTCAGTGCCAAGGAGCAGGAACATGTGAACGTCATGCAGATCACCTGGGAGGAAGCACACAGTATGGAGCACTCCACACGTGGATGCAAGGAGTCCGTGGAGGAGCTGCGGAAACTGCGCTTGACCAGCCGTTTCAGGCAGATCTGCAAACTTAAACCAGGACAGAGCCACGCAGAGCACCTGATATTAAAGATGCGGAACGGATTATCCAGGTGCAAGACGGCACAGATAGAAGAGGAAACGAAGAGTGAAGCACTTCGGGAATACTGTCAGCATCTGTGTGTCAACTGGTCCCCCTGTGGCTTGGTTGTCAACCCGGATGCTCCATGGTTGGGGGCGCTGCCTGACGGGCTGGTGTACGACCCCAAGGAGATTCCCAGTTTCGGGATGGTGCATATCAAATGTGTCAGTTTTCAAAGCTTCATTGACTGCGGGTTCCTCACCTACCAGGACGGAGCCTTGAAACTGAGAACAACCAGCTCTCACTACTGGCACATTCAAGGAGAGATGATGGTGACAGGCATGTCATGGTGTGATCTCTGTGTCATCTCCAGAGAAGACATTCTGGTTCAACGCATCTACCGGAACAATGCTATCATCAAGGTCATGATGAAGAAGTTGCAGGACTTCTTTTTCCGTTACTACCTGCCAAGTCTGTTTCACACCGGTGTTACAGCTTGAGTGCTTGGGGCATCGTCACACTGCTGTCATACACACATGTTCTTCCCCTCAGGTGGTTGCTTGTGAGTTTTAACAGATTGCAGATGACTTAAATGTAGTATATTTTCTGACCACTAATGTTCTACTGGCATTATTAAATATGTAACTTTTATTATTAGTTCGATGGAGTCTAGTCAAGAGTAAGTTTTAGAAATGCAATGATCAGTCGGCTGGCGATCGGAATATCAGATCAGATATCCTATCCTGTGATGGTCAAATTTACACTAATGCACGGCACGACGGTTCCTGCACAAAATGGCACAAACACCGCTACGTCATCAGCGTGGAAGTTTTTCACTGTGAGTGAAGACGACACAAAACCTCTCAATTTTTAATACCTGGAATACTGAATTAAGTTGTAGAGGAACAAACATGAAAACATTCGCAACAACAAAGTTAGGTAGACACACCATCACGCCACTGACACTAGCAAAGGCAAAATGGCTAAAACTACTGTCACACCGCATACCTCAGCCTCGCATGGCGGCTACCTAGCTGCTGCGGCTTGTAAGCATGTGTGTCCACACCGCCAGCATTGCTGCCATGCTTTTGATGATGGTCGTCAATAATAATAATCAAACATTTTTATGAGTGGTTTGAAAAGTGAAGAACTGTAACCAGTCATATGATTGTTGTTTTCCCTTGTTTAGACAGCGCGCGAGAGAGAGAGCGCCCGTCACCTTGTTATTTAATGATTAACATACAATTGAAGTGTCCAGCAAAGAAAAGTTAAGAAAAGTTGTTAATTATAGACTTTAAAAATGTAGATAATAAATAATAATAAAGACTGAGTTAGTCAGGCTTTTTTTTTTTTAAATCAGATATCGAAGACTGTGAAACGTGGCCCACCACAACTTCCCAGCGCCCAAGTTCAGATTGATGACGTCTGAAGGTATTCACTTTATCATCAGATAGCAGAAAACACACATTTGTGGAGCTGGGGCAAGGGAAAATTTCTCCTCAAGCAGTGACTTCAATGATTAATCTACAAATAAAGTTGTTTCTGATTCGTTTTTCATGTAGATCGATTGCACTAATTGTTTCACTGGGCATTCCTTTGGTGATGCTGGTTGGATTTTGTTCGATCACTGTTCACTGGGGCTGGAACTACTTTAGGTTCAAGTGTTGACACGAATGGGAAATTTCAAGTGACTATTAAAGCAGAACAAATGCTAAATCCATTGATAATATTTCTGTAGTTCTGAATCAGAGCATGACTATGCAGAAGGTTTGAATGCTCAGAAATAAAGATTCTTATATCTAACCACATAAGGTCTGTGTCAGTTGTTTGAAATGGTCCACTAGTGTCTTGCTTAAGCCCAGTGTTCCTTTAGACCCTGATCCCTCTTTAAGAAATATACTTGTCATTGTTTTATCAACATGACGCTTCATTCAGTTTCTTAATTTTATAAACATGATTTTGAACTGATGACGTGTTTCAAAAATCTGCTGCAGAAAACAAAGCATCACTCCTGTTTGGAGCCGTAAAACATGGTTAAATACAACTAAATTTTAAATGCCATGTAATTGTCTCTGAGTTTGACAAAAGAAAGGAATATATTTTGTTGGTAGCCTATAAAACATGAAATATTTCCTTATTTGTTGTGCAATAAAAATGTTTTATGGTCATTGTCATATGGTCAAGAAAACATTGGTCCTAGCACCTTCATATCTTTCAGATTACCTGTCAGAGTATGTTCCAAACCATTCGCTTTAGTTGCTTAACGATGGTTTATTAAATATCCCAAAATGAACCGCACAAAGTTCAGTAAGCAGCTTTCCCGAAGCTGTGTACCAGAGTTACTCCCACCACATATTAGACTAGCAACCTCTGCTGATGTATTCAAGAAGCAGCTCAAAACTTATTTTTTATGGTCTTGCTTTTAATTAATTCAAACTTTACTTTGAACTTTGAGATTTTCTTTTATATTTCTTTATGGTTTTTATATCTTTAAATTGCTTTTAGAACTTTTATCTCCATGACCTTAAATGTTTTTATTTTTTCAGGATGTTATTGTCTTTTATTGCTTTAATGTGTCCTGTCTTTAAGTATCAGTCGTTTTGTTTTAATGCCTCTTCTTGTAAAGCCCTTTGAGCTGCATTTTATGTTATGATAGGTGCTATATAAATAAAGTTTATTATTTTTATCTTCTATCTTTTTTTCTGTATTTTGTCTTGCATTGCACGTAACCTCTGTATGTGGCAAAGGGAAGTTGTTGTTTTTTACACAAAATAAGACAACAACAAAACCAAAAGCCTGACTAGACAAAAACAACAATGTATCAGCCTATCATTAAAAAAAGCACATGGCAAAGAATAGCTGAATTAGACATCACATAACAGGGACCTCAATTAATTAGTGGGCAAACAAGGCAACTGTTGAGCAGTTACATCTGTCACAAATATCAGATGCACTAGAATCTTTTCTTGACTCTGAACTGAATCAGCTGCAGCCTAGCACAAAGGGAAATAAAGAAAAGTACTGGATGATTTGACAATTATTAGTTACTTTTACACAGTCAGCACTGTGGGATCCTAAACAATGAGGAGGTAAGGCCACAGACAGCAGAGGGTCGGTGTGGAGACAGTTACACTCTGCTCCTGCAGAGGGCGCTGTGTGGACTCACCGTGTCAGACAGTTGCAGCACTGAGCAGCTCTCTTTGGTTAATATCAGATGACGTAGAGTGATTGTGTTTTTTGCAGCTGGACCGAAAAAAAAGAAGAAACGCTTTGTCATGTTTCACACTAACCCGTGTGTGAATGTGTGTGTGTGTTTGACAACTACCATTAGTCAGCAGGACACACACATATAGTCACATTTCGTCCTGTGGGGTTTGCAGATTGACCGGATGCAGTTGTTTTGAAATTATCAGCTCGTTGCTCTCTCTCTGTCTCTCTCTCTCTCTCTCCCTCTCCCCCCTCTCTCTTACAAACACACACTCACACACACTCGGATCTCCTGTGTTCGTGTCTCCGCTTTTCCTCCACGCCACCTGTGTGTGTTTTTGTGATAATGGCTGTAAATAAAACCTACATCAGTATCGGCTACGCGTCGTTTGGTGTGCTCATGGGCTTCTCTGCTTTCCTGGTGTGGAACATCGTGTACAATCAGCCGTGGACTGCAGCCATGGGAGGACTGTCAGGTAAACACCGCCGCTGTCTGTCCGCAGCTGTTGTGTTGTCCTTTAACTCTACGTTATGTGTCCTGCCAATGTGCGTGTCTCTATTCCAGTCTGCCGATAGACAGCAGGGACCCCTCTCCTCAGGCTGAAGGCACCTTGTTTACTAAACCCACTGGCTGCAAACTGAGTCTGTACAGATCACAGTTCACACTTGTTGAAGGGCAGAAGTGACAACTGATCAACGCTGTCATACAGTCAAGTCAGATTATTTCTTCTTGAATATTAGACAAGTGTATCCTGTTGCAGATTTTACATTATTCTTGACAGGTTTTAGCTGGACATGTGTAAAATGGTGGTGGTGGTGGTGGTGGTGGTGGTGGGGGGGGGGTTTATACCTAAAATTACCATAAAAATAGCTTAAACGTTTTTTTTTATAAGTAATAAAAACAACAATATATGGTGCAGAAATATTGAAATGTAGGGTCCTAACTACGAATTGGGTGGGTTATTAAGGCAATTTTCTTCTTGGTTATAAAATGCTGTAAGAGAAATTATTTAAAACACAGTGTTTTGCTCGTTTTATATACAGTCAATCATACTTTATTTCTTTTAAACCATTCCTCAAAGCATGTGATATGTTACTGTTTAACATAGCTGAATTGTGTTCTCCCCACAGATGTCGATTCCTTTAAATTTTAAGTTTCTGCAAGAAGCATTTCATACTGTACTTAAATAAATAGAAACCACAGTTTAATTGGAGGGCATAAAAACACTTACAACTGAAGGGAAATGATTGGTATTAAACAGTACTGCACTAAAATGGCCATTGTATGATCCATTGAGTGAAGTGAGTGTGGCTCATACAGTATGAGTGTTGATTTTAATTGACAATTGGCACAGATTTGCAAATTTATCAATCCCGGTCTGTCGCCATAAAAAGATCGAATAGTTGGCTTTATGCACAGTTATGCAATGGGCTGTGTTAAGTGTAATATACACAGATATGACCTTTGAGCCACTGTTGGGGTTTGCAAGTTCATATCTTTAAACTCTGTACTCATCCGTTCACAGGATGTACTTTTATCAGTTTTAGTGCTTGTTAAACTCACCAGTTCAGGTCAGACTGAGTCGTCTGGGTTCTCTTGTGATTTTGATCAAAAGTGATGAGGTTTCATAAAATGACAAATGATCATATAGTAGGTTCAGAATTGTTTTTATTCTCTCACAACTACTAAGATCAGTGATTCACATACATGAAGTTAACGCCATCCTCTCACAAATTAGCAAAGAATATGAAATATTACTGAAACCTGAGAAGTGGACTCAGCCTGAAAGTTAGAGGCTGCATTTTCATTTGCACTGGCTGCAACCTGCTCCACGCCTGTGTTGTTGATACACTGCCGTAACAAGTGATGTTTTGATTGCATGATGGTGAATGGGGATGTGAATTACACATGTTCTTTCTGAAAATGGCAGTGTTCACTCGTCACTGCACAACCATGTTGCACCAAACGTTCACTCAAACACTGAGACTGAAGCAGAAGCTGCTGTCAGGTTGCTACAGTTGAGCTGCTTCTGTCACAGTTTCAGGCAAATCAGTTGGTGAAAAGCCGGCACAGCTTCACAATGCTGCGGCTGCTGGAAATTAGAAAAAGAAAAAAGGGGAACATGAAGAAAGAAGTGGGATTCATTGACTCAGCAATGGGCAACATGCTGTGTCATGATGTGTCTGTCGGTGAAAATGCACACTCACGTCTCGTGCCACCAAATGTTCATGATCATCCAAAACGCAGGTCAATGTCAACAATTATCGTCACCATTTGCCAAACATATGATCAGTTTTTAAATTGTTGTCCGAACTTCCAGGCTGCTGCCGGTTTCCATTCACTGCATGAAATTTAACTTGCGTCAGAGTGAACATTTACTGACGCTCGTGGAAAGACAGCTGTGAGCAGAGAGATTTTTGGAAAACCTTTTTCTTTTTGGTGCTCTCCAGAAACTGTGACCTCAATGAATTGAGAGTCAGCTGCTGGAAATCCCACATTCTCATGCAACAAGGTGATATTTAAGCTAAGAATGCACTGATCCCTGACACTGGATTGGTATCAGGGTCCGTACTGATCCTATGAAGTGGACTCGGTATCGGCCAGACACAACCCATCCCCATGAAATACAGATTCTTGGTCAGTGTCACAGTAAAATTCTGTATTTCTGCTCTCAGTTCCTGCTATCAATGACGCCACAAATAAAGATAATAAAAGTTCCACGCAATGAGGTATACAGATTTTGAATGTGGAGAAAAAGAAAGCACTTGTGTTGGCTCAGCAATCAGAACCTCCAGATATCCCTCAGTTATTGATCGGAATCTGTATTGGAAGAGACAAAGTCAGAACAGTGTGTCCTCAATTGAGGCTACATTGTTGCTTTCATGCCATCCACGTCTGCTCATTGTTTGACTTTAGGGTTTGTTGCCATGAAAGGATACAATAGCTTTTGAATGCAATGCTTTGAGTCTTCAGTACTTTCAGTCCCTCATTGCAACTGTAATACAATGCAACAATAACATGGACAAAAGTTTCTGGATGGGGATTTTGACAGTGTATTGAAATAGTGGCTGCCTGATGTGTTGAAAAAAAACAAACACATAAAACCAGCAGCAGCGTCTTCTGAATACAGCTTGTCCACTAAGACTCAATGTTATGTGTCCATGTGTTTGTTCCTCAGGTGTGCTGGCACTCTGGGCCCTGATCACTCACATCATGTACCTGCAGGACTACTGGAGGACCTGGCTGAGGGGCCTCAAGTTCTTCTTCTTCATTGGTGTCTTCTTCTCTCTGCTGGCAGTCATAGCCTTCATCGCCTTCCTGTCTATTGGCATCAGGAACAAAGAGTGTAAGTTCCTCTCCATCGCTTTCCTGTTTCACAAAATGTGGTGTGTGTGTGTGTGTGTGTGTGTGTGTGTGTGTGTGTGTGTGTGTGTGTGTGTGTACACTGTTCTTTACCAAACGTGTGGGAGAACTGGGTTCTGGTATAATCTCATCAGCTCCTGTTTGTCTCACGTATTAGAGGCTCTCCTAAGAAAGATCAAACACAGGAGATGAGAGTTGTACAGATGTTTCCTAATGTACTGTACCCAGTGTTAAACTTGTTTTGCATCAAAGTATTCAATACTGTGAATAGTCACAATAAACAGAAATGCAAAAGGGTAAAGGTCCAGTGTAAAGCAGACAACTAAGTAGAGTGTCCATTATTATTTCTACTTGACCTGCAGATTTCCTTCAATTCCCAGAATGCCCATTACCAACAATAATGAAAGGAGCAAGTTTCCCTAATTGAGAAAATGTTTGGAAGTGTCACATTTTCAAGGCTACAATCAAAGGAGAAATTATTATTTGTGTCTTAGTGACAAAGATATTTTCCCCGTTTATAAGTGTTGAACATCAGATCAAGACCACCCCTGTCCACATACTTTTGTGTAGTTTTTTGTTTTTCGTGGCTTGTACTGGCCCCCTTGGTTACAGTGAAGGGAACTCTTAAAGCTGCAGCAAACAAACATAGACAATAGACATGGTGTGCTTCAAACTTTGTGGCCATAATTTGAGGAAAGCCACTTCCTGTCTCCTTTCTCACAAAGGACAGAAATAGTTTTCCTGACTGTGGTGTGGAAGAACTTCACCGGCCTGCTCAGGTCCCTGATCTCAATCCCATCCAGCACTTTTTGGATGGAACAGCGATTGTGAGCCAGGGCTCATATTATCAAACTGCTAAAAGTGATATTTTGGACTTAAGCAAAAGATAAAAGTAAAAACACTGTTATGTCTACTCCCAAATTTGAAAATAAAGACAATTTTTCCAATTTCTTAGTGTTTTTAAATTTAAGAGAACTTCACTGGGGTCTCAAGTTGGTTAAGAGTGGATCATAGACACCTGCGGTACAAAGACAGATTGGACGACTCAGCTTCTTAGATATGTCCTGTTGTGAGTGGTTATGATGAATAATAATATGTTTGCTGAAGCAAAGACTGAAGAATAAACCGGCCATATTGTTCCTCAGCAGAAGAATTTATTTTCTGCTCCTCTTTGGTTTTCTGTTTGTTTCTATTTCAGCCAGTTAATTAAAATTTTCTCACCATTAATGGTCACAAATCATAAATTCTAAATATATTAGATTGTTGTATATTGCTACTGGGGATATTAAGGATAAATGAACTTAAAAATTCTAATCCCATACAGTATGTATTTGAGGAGTATCGCACTGTATCAGTGAGTAAAATTTAAGGACTTGTTTTTTAAAAAGACTGCCTAACATGACAGCTGGTAAATCCTTATCTCTGACTGATATCTCCTGCTCTGAGCATAGGTGTTATCAGACACTGGAGAGTTGCTCTCAAAGGTTACTCAGTTTGCTGTAAGTAGGAGGGGGAGTCTTATTCATCCCTCTCAGCAAATAACTTTTTTACTCCTAAGTTGAACTCTCTTAAGTCTGATTGTTAGAGGTTTGACAAAAACATCAATGTCCAACCTCAATAATGTTGTTGCGACTGGAGGGGAGTGAATCTCTGGAGGCAGGCTCCAACATCTTGTGGAAAGCCTGAACAGAGCAGTGGAAGCTGATTAACACTTTAGAATGAGACGTTAATGCAGGTTTAATGTCAGCATAGATCACAAGATCTTTGCGATGCTGTTTGCTGTGTTTTTGACCAGGTATGTGCATGAATATGAAAAATACACCACTCTGGTATGCTAATCTGTGTGTGTCTCCATCTCCCACAGCCCTGACTGACCCTCGGAGTCTCTACCTGTCCTGTGTGTGGAGCTTCATGAGCCTGAAGTGGTCCTTCGTGCTGGCCTTGTGCGCTCACCGCTACCGCAAAGAGTTTGCCGACATCAGTATCCTCAGTGACTTCTAAGGGGACTGAACAATCCCACAGTGACCATTCAGACTCTACAGTACACTCACTGTGCTGGCTTCCCAACCCGAGAGTGTCACAGTGTGGGAGAGAAGGAGGACACTTTAAGAGGAATCAGGGGAGAGTTTGAAATACTTTGTGTTGTGGATGAACACCATTGTCTCCCCCACGAAACCTCTTCTGTTTTACGTGTGCAGGATTTGTTGTTGACTCGGCCGATTTACAGACAAATCCTGCCCTGTTTTATATGATAGATTTTATTCTCTTACATTTTCACTTCCTCAGCATCTTGCTTAGTCATGCGTCTGCACAATTTCTTCATGACAAAATAAATCCAGAATATGGTCTATTTCTTACCATGACACAGTGAAGCGAACTGTTGTTTCAACACACTCCCCAGTGGTAGTTATCAGTTGCAGTTACATACTGTAGCCACTAGAGGGAATCACTCTTCCAACAATTAAAACACATGCACAGTACATGTGTAGTGCTTCACATCCCAACTTTGTCATATTACATCTATGTATTTTCTTTATTGTTTTTTTCTGTATCAGTGAATGATAAAATAACCTTACAGCAGACATGTTTCCATCACAAGTTGCACATACAAATGATGAAATGTGAATATCACAGTGGTGAATACAATGCTTTAATGTTGATGCGCTGCTTTAACACAGTGTGTCAGGGTCTTGCAAACAGGGCAGGTCCCCCAAAATCCTGCAACATCAAAGTGAATGCGTTCATGTGCAATTCTAAATAAGCACCACATGTCCTGTTCAATACACTTCTGAACTTTAAAGAGGCATTTTTAATGTAAAGAATGATTTTTGTATTATTTTTTATCAGTATGAGTAAAAACACTCAAAGAAAGTGACAACATTAGATCTCATAAGTGTGAAGACGGCCCTCAGTTGGGGCTTCACAACAGCAGTGATGTCACTAATGTGCATGCTCAAGTATTCATGTTGTTTAATGATACATCGTCTTCGTCAAAATCATTTAGGTTGTTGCTTACTGAGATTATTTTACTGTATTTCTTTAGCCCGTGTATCACTTGACTGAATGTAGGAGTGTGTGTTTGTATAGGAGTGTGTGTGAGAATCATGTTAATAAAATGTGTTTTTTTTTGACATCCCCTGTGCACTGGTGTGTTTCTGCAGTGAAATCTTAAAATAGACATGGTAGTGGCTAAAAACTGTTCCTCTTTTATAAGAAGGAATGTGTCGACAACTTTTACAGTTTCTGTTCCTTTAAAACATTTAATTCCTCTCTATAAAAGGAAATGCAACAACAAAAAAAATATTAGTTATTATTTTCATCATAAGGCTTGTGACTTCCATGTAACACAAGAAAGTGTCACAGAAGCAGATTGAAGGTGCTACACATTCTTCTTCCTTCTAAGCCCGGGTCAGGAGGGTCAGTGTTGGGCATTAGAGTGGGATTTACGCCATGAGAGGAATGAACTTTTTTTTCCCACCCACCCGAACCACATTTATGACGAAAAAACACCCCACAGCATTGCAATCGCAACAGCAAATGCAGACCAATAACCTGCACTTTGAAGTCTGGCAATTATTCCATCCATCCACATTTTTATTTTATCCCTCAAAGGGAAGGTGGGGGGTGGGTGCGGAGAGTTTTTAGTGTATGATTTTGTTGAAGCAGCCGCCTGATAGAGGGACTTTGAAGTTGATGTGAAAAATGTGTGACTGAATTATTACTGCGCTATCAGTGTTTGGTGTGTTATAACTTATTGAGAGATTAATGTATCAGGTGAAAAGTGTGTCTCTTAAGTCCATCCTGGATATGTTGAGGAAAAACTCTTGCTATGCTAAGTAGTGAGGAAAGTGATTCTGGCACAGTGCTTCATTATTTACTAGAAAGATCAGTAACTTTGATCCTTAAGAAGCCACTATCATTATTTCACTTTCTTTGTTGCTTTCCTGCATCCTTCCTCTGCGTTTTAAGGACATTTTTGGTGGTACTTATATGTTAATTGCGTTACACTGGTTTGTTTGTAAGCCCCCAGAGTCTCATTGCATCAAGGTAATTGCAATGTTGTGGTTAAATCACCATGGCAACATTTTTTATCTGGCCGTTATAAACTTCGACATTAAGAAACTGAAAAACAATCCGGCTCACTTTCCACTGAGCAAGCTGGGGGCTTTGGAACCAAATGCGTCCTATTAAGTTTATACACCATCCTGTAAAACGTGTGTGTGTGTGCGTGTGTGTGTGTGAGTGTGTATGTGTGTGTGTGTGCGTGTGTGGTATGTAAAGAGAGGGAGGGCTCTTGTTTTATTCAATTATGGGACTCCTTTCTACTCAAATCAAGGAAGGAAGTTGTCTCAAGTGTTGACTGGCAGTCTGGCAGAGTGCGGTGAGACTGGAAACAATAGTTTAAACATTCAAACAACACAAATATCCTAAACATCCTGTACAATTGGATACTAAAGAGCAGCTGAATCAAAATTTGTAACAAACAACCTACAGGGGAAAATATTCCTTTGTGCTGAACACACACAAACTTTTTCAACGAATGATGTCAGAATCCAAGTATCTTAAATTATTCATGGAGGACACAAACACACTGCAAACATCCACCTGTGCACTCTCAGACCTGTTCATGCGAACTTGCTGACACGTTAAAACGAGCAGTTACAGAAAGGTATTCACCATTTATCATCAGTTCATATGACACACTGGTGGAAGAAGCACTGATGTCTTCCACTCACATAAAAGTGAAAACACCACACCATCTTTTACAGTTAAAAGTCCTGCATTCATAATTTTCCTTAAGCAGAACTACAAGAGTATTAGCAACTAAATGTCCCATGGTGGACTGTAGCTAAGTGCATTAACTGAAGTAAACAATTTTGAATGCTTTTACTTTTATATACTTTTAACTATTTCTATTTTATGCTACTTTACCCTTCAACTCCGCTACATTTCAGTGGGAAATATTGTACTTTTTACTCCTTTAAATTCATTTGACAGCTTTAGTTACCAGATACCTTTCAGATCAATATTTTACATACCAAAAATATCGTCCATATTTAAGATATGCTGCAAACAAAAATGGTGCAGACTACCTGACACAATATGAGGATATGAAGCAGTTCAAGTTTTACTTCACCTCGACCACCTGCAGCACTGACTTACTTCTTACATGCATAAATTATAATGATCCAATAATATGATATCACACCACTAACAGGGGCCTGTCTGCGTAATTAGTACTTTCGCTATAAGTCCACTTCATTGCTAATTCTTCTTTTACTTCAGTTTTGAATGCAGGACTCATGATGTGATATTTGATATTTTCATAGTATGGTATTATACTTTTACTCCTTTAACAGATTTGAATTGTCCCTCCACCACAGCTGTAAACACTCTGTGGTGGGTATTTGCAGTTTATCATCGGGTTATAAATAAGCAGTGGTGAAGAAAGCATCAAGATCTTTTATTCATGTCAAAGTAACTATACCATACTATCAAAATATTTATTACATGTAAAAGCACATAAGTATCAAGAAGTAAAAGTACTCCTTATGCAGCAGAATGGCAGAGTATTATCTTGCACTACTTTACTATTACTATTATTGATAATGATGCATTATTGCAAAAGCAGTATTTTATTGTTGTGGTTTATTTTAACTACGTTATATAATTTTGAGTAGTTTAACGTATTGTAAACTAGTGTCGCTGTATGAAGCAGCTTAAACTGGAAATACTCATTTTGTTACTTTTGAGTACTGATAAAAAGTGAAGAGGGATTCACAGCTTCGTGTCTGTGGTGCGTGCTGGCTAACGTTTTCAATTGCGAAATATGAACATTGGTATTAATAATACAAAAATGAAACATTTGATCTAAAAAAAGAAGCGTCAGGAGGGAAAAAAGCTAAATGAAAAGCAAACATCTTGAATTGGTCGAGAACCAGATGGCCTCTTTGACATTAAGAAGCCGCTTTGGCATTTTAAGAAGGCAGTCCCAGAATGATTTCCGAGGAACTTCCGCAAAGCGTGGTACAAAGCCCACAGATATTTAAGCAATATCCATAGCAATTTACTGTTTTATTTACAAACTGAAACATATGTTTCTAGACCTTTGCAGCCCCCCTCCCCTCCCGTCTCTCCTATTACCACATTGATTTACTGCTGCAGCATTTCTCCCACACTATTTGCTTTTTCTTTCCCTTTCTTTTCCCCTGTTTCTCTGCATCTCTGTATCATCATCTCCCATCACTCATCAGTCAGTCAGACTCCTGCCTGTTGACAGCACAGTAGATGCTCTACCTTTGCACTCAGCTATTGTTTTCCCCTCTCTGATTCTTGCATTTCTGTGTGCGATGCTGCCTGTGCCTCTGGGACCACTGCGAGCTCGCATCTGAAACATTTTAGAGAGACACATATTTGCTGTTTTAGAGCACAAAGGGATATGCCATGGCAGAGGCTGTTTGAAGTGGCTTCACAGGGGGAACCAGAACCAGAGCGAGGGATTTGAGAAACCATAAAGAAACGTTAGCGCAATGTAACTTTGGTAAGGTCATCTAATCTAATGGAAGTGGGGATTGATTCAATGTGAAGGCGTTCCCCTTTGAAGCCGGCTCTGTTGATGTTTCTAATGCAACAGCTCTGTTGTAGAAACGCAGCACTCCTCTCTACCTTGCAGACTGTGCTGCACTGTCCGTTTGACAGGACTGGATGCGTGATAGTGTCTAATCCTGCAGATCCCAGGTTGACACTGCCTCCAGTAGCCAGCGTTTTAAAGTGTGAGGTTGAAGACAGCAGTGTTTGACTGCCTGCCATGCTCCTTATGTAAAGAAAATGATTTGTGGTGTGGGGTTTTCTTACAAGGAGCCTTGTTCATGGAGGGCCAAAAAGGTGTCTCATCGCTATTTTAATTTCCAGATATTCTGATAAACTGCAATCCATACAGTGATGTTTGGTTGACCTTGTTATGAATATATATTTCACATATGGTGAATGGCCATCATCATCATCATCATCATCATCATCATCATCATCATCATCATCATCATCATCATCATCATCTCCCTCTCTCTTTTTCCTGTTGTCATTGTTCAGGTGAACAAAGGCTTTATGAAGGCTCAGCAATAGTCTTGTGGCTTGATAAGCTCATCTCTGAAGTTCACGCTGAAACAGGATTTTCCAAGCCGAGTGGACACGTGGTCTGCTCTGATCTGCTGACTCACTGAAAGTCTTATTAGTGTTTACAAAGAAAGTAAACCTAACATGTTGAATCTGAGCAGCTGAGTCAGCAGTCGACTTTATGACTTTCATGTGATGATTTTCTATATATAGTGCTGGATAACATCTCTGTCTTTCTGCCTTGCTGATTAGACTCAGCAGGATGAACTTTTACTGAGAGCAGTTTTACGTTTATCGAATGGATTCTGATAAACACGCAAAGGTCGTTGCTTTTATCTGACATTACTGCTTGTTTATAACATCATGTTTAATGTATGTTGTTTAATTCTGTGTTACTGAAAAACTTCATACAGAAACTTGGGCACCACTTCTAATAAGAAACCACTTTATAAAGAGTTGTGGCCAGCCTAATAGCTGTGTTAATGGTTAATAAATAATTTACTGCTACTTTATGATCATATGATTTTTGATAAGAAGAACTTTTGGGTTGCCAGGTTGTTACTGATTGAGCCGTATGACCACTTATCATCTGGAAAGAGTTGCAGGAGGATGTGGAGCCTGTCTATTTATTACTTATTAAACATTTATTAATGACATGTTGATATTTATAACGACATTACTACCACATTACTACTACCAAAAAGAAAGAGTAAACACCAACAACATTTTATTTAAAAACATAAAAAGACTTATGAGCAGTATGTAAACATTTGATAAATGGTTTACACATTAAAATGTAGTTTTAAGCAGCTTTAATGTATTTGTTAGCAACTATGACCTCTCCTGTGGCTGCCCATAGGTGGAGGCTGGTGTATAAACATAAAATGATGAACATCACATATTCTAATGATGTAAAATTTGACATTGTAGGAGAAGTTACAGTTGTTGATTATATCATCAGGATCCATGATGATGATGAATCATGATCAATAAAACACTTAAAATATCCTTATATTTGTTTATAGCTACATTATAATGTGTTATAAAGCATTTACAAGTTTTTTTAAATACTGCTTACAAATGCACTTGGCAACTCAAAAGTTGTTTTCATTAATGACTTAAAATCGGTCAGGTAACACTGAAACATCATGCACTGATCTTCCCTGGACGTCCCATGATGAGCCATACGAGTCTTCATCAGCCTAACCTGCTGCTCAGTTTACACCAGCCCAGCATGCTGTATCCCCAGCTCAGCTGTGAGCTCCATTGGGACTGTTTGTAATGTGCCATGGATGGACCCCAGGACTTAAACGCTGTAATCAGAGCCAGAGCAGGATATTGGCTAAATTACACATGAAAGCAGGGACATTCAAGGAAGCATGAGCACTAAATATTATGATAAATTACGGCCTAATACGAGAAGATAAATCACAGCTAAACAAGAATAATACAGGCTTACACGCAGTGGGGGAAGGAAGTGTTTTTAATGCAAAATTGTGGTTTTCAATGTGAAAAACACATATGTTACAGGCATCTGACAAAACCGTCACCTTTCAAGATCTCTTTAGTGACTGTTCTAGAGCTTTCGATCATATCACATGATCTTCATCAGCATCACCTCATCAGACAGAGCTCGTCAGTTGATGGAACTGTAGATTGTCTAATTTCCTTTTTATCCGATTTAAAAGCCCATGGAAATGTAAAAAAAAAACACAAAAAAAAACCTTGCAACCTGCAAAATTACATTTTGATTCAAATACTGTGATTGATTCACCGAGCTACAGTTTATCACTGGTTTCCAGCTCAAACCAGTAAGAGGAGCAGAGAAAAAAAGACAGAAATCTCTCTTGTGAAATAACCAAAACTTTGTCAGACAACTTTGGCAGAAAGCTAGAAATTTAGGAAAAAGCTGATTAAGAAAATTAGTTCTCAGGGCCTTTAAGGACATCTCGTCAATGCTGAAATATTAGTGATGTAATGCAACTTGGAGTATCTTATAAGTTATAATTTTCTTCGGTGCACCCTGTGTTGGCCAGTTCTTTCAAACTCACTTTGAAATATAATCAATAATATATAATCAATATAATAAATAGGAATAGTTTCTCATTCTGTGAAATCTGAATATTCACTTTCTTGTTGAGAGCTAGATGCGAAGATCTTTGCTGCTTTCATATTTGTATGGTAAATATGATTCTATAGTTAGCAGCTGGCTAACTTAGCTCAGCGTACACACTGTAAACAGGGAGAAACAGATGTTCTAGTGTGTAATATAAAAGTGTAAATGGTCGTTTTTACACTTTTCTGTGGGGGAATTTTAGAGGTGCTGGTTGGTGGATTTTGTTACCTTCTGATAGAGCCAGGCTAACTGTTTCCCTGTGTTTCCAGTCTTTATGCTAATCTAAGCTAACCAGCTGCTGGCTGTAGCTTTATATTTAGCGAACAAAGTTTGGAGTCGTATCAATCTTCTCATCCAGCTCTTGGCAAAAAAAAGTGAATATGAGTATTTTGCAAAATGTTGAACTATTCCTTTAATTTAACTGACCATCAACCAGGAAAGGCAGGTGAAGACTTGATTCTGTTCAAAACAAAAAACATTGTGCTCATTAGTTTGCAAGACGTCTGCCCCCCTTTCACCCCACCCAGTTCCATCCACACTAACCCCCACCTAGCATGCACCTTCACCCCTCAGCTCCCCACCCCCCACCCCCAACTCCCCCAACTCCCCCATCACGCTCCTCCCGAACCCCTCTAAGTGGATACCCCACAGGAAGGGCTTCTCCAGGGGGGAAATGGGTCCCAGATGTCTGCCTTTGTGCCACTATAGGCTCCTAGGGAGGGATGGAGCAGTGGAAGGATGGGTATGATGGGGGGAGAGGGCGTAGTGCGCTGTGTGCAAACATTAATAACGGCAGCCGGGAGGGTGAAGAAACTCCCAGGGTGAAGGTGAGGGGGAATTTAATGATTGGCTCCTTTTGTTGAGCCAGTGTGGATTTCCAAACACATCAGTTATGATTGGTCATCCTGCTGCTCTCCTACCAGCTGAGTACGTCACTGCAGAGCTTCGACCTTTTGGTGTATGACGGTAATTGAACTGACTGCATTACGAACTTAAAGAAACTTTTTTTTTCTGAACTTCAAAGATTCAACATGGCCGCTTTTCAGTGCTGTATTTCAGTCAGGACCAAACCATATGGTGTAGAGACAGAAATAGACAATACATCGGTCTTCTTTGATATCCAACCTCCAACCCCCTGTGTGTGTGTGTAAGCCTATATATATTGATATATATTGATATGTGTATGATCTGTTTTCAGCTCCAGAAAGGGTAAATTACGACCCCCATGGAAATAAAATGAAGAGGAGAGCAGGACCTGAGTGTTTAGTGAAACATTATGTCAAGACTCTGACAAGGAAATGAAATGTGCAACATCAATCAGCTTATGAGGACAGAGATCAAACGAGCCTCCACACTCCTGCATCTGGTTCTGTTTGGACAGCCTCACTTTCCCCCCCTTTTCTCCCTCTCCTTTCTTCTCCTTTTCTTTTCCCCTTTTCCCATTCTTCTCCCATTCTCTCTCTCTCTCTCTCCCTCTCTCTTTTTTCTCCCCTTCTGTTCTCCTATGTGCCACGACATTCCTGTTGGCCAACTCGCTTCGTTAGCTCATTTTTTCCATGATGGTGGCACACAGCCACGCTTTCTCTAAAAGGTAAGCGGCAGCTCCCGAGATTAGCCTCAGCAACAATGACTTTCCTGTCCCTCCGCTGTCTCCACCAGAGCTCCCAATAAGCCCTGGTTCTAATACCAGTTAATCCTGGAGCTGACTTGGCTTGTTATGTAAATACAACCTCGTATAATTCATTGTCTCTGTCCACGGGCTTGCTTTGATGGCCAGATGAATTTTTTTTTTCTTCTGAGTTGATTGAACCCAACTGGGATCAAGCTACTTTCCGTTCAACGTCGCTCTCTGAATGAAATGTAAACCAGTGCAATCACGGGGCTCATCAAAAATCTTCTGAACCGCTCTCTGCACATACGGCCCTTCAAATGCTGCAGCAATCACACCCAAATTGTTGGCTAGAAGCTGTCAAGCAGCGTGTGGAGAATCATATGAGATTTAGTTACAACTCATGAAAGGTTTGTTGGTAAATAATACCAGTTTCTGGTAGAATTCCTCTCCGCGTCTTCACATAGTAACATCTCAGGACAGCGACTGAATTCAAATCAGTTTTGGAAACATGAAAGCTGTAATGACTCTTCTACAAAGATATGTTTAGAAGTATTCACATTTAAAGGCTTCTATTAACTATGCTGTCATCAAAAAGTACAAAATTTCTGCAAACTTAGAGCAGCGGAAAACTCCCCACAAGATTTCTCTGCAGTGATCCACACATGAGTCACGCATGTTGTGACGCATGAAGATATAAATGGACACAATGTTGGGAAACTGATTGGGATTTGATGGTAGATTTACGCAAGACTTAGTCATTTGTTCAATCCTTGGGTTGTTGTACCTTTGTTGTCCGAGGTCAGATTGAGCAAACATGAGCTGCACATTGTCATTTTCTCAAGAAGAACCTGCCCGCTGTGTCATGACTGCAAACGTGTAGAAAATGTGTTTAAGTGGCTGCAGACCCAGATGGGCTCACCGTGTGAAGGTGGAACATGTGTCGGCTCTGCCTCGAGGCCATGGATGGCACAATTAGGTGCTCTCTCACCTCTGCAGACTGAGGTCACTGGGCCACTGAGGTCAGGGGTTATTTAGGGTCCTGTCTGCACTCCCTTCCTGATCCACCACAGAGGAGAAGGACAGCTGACGTCAGCAGTGATATCGGAGGTGTTTATTCATTAAGAACTTTTTCTAAAACAAACACTGGTCTGCTGTTGAGAGTGGTGTTTTGGTAATTCATTGTACATGAGTGTCTCAGAGACAGTGATGTGTCAGGAAAAAACTCATCTTGTGAAATTCTTTCCAATATGCATGCTTTCACAAGCTCACATTTTCTCTCAGATCTGCTTAAAGTTGCTGCGGCCAAACAGATTTATGAACAATCCTTTTTTTGATTTGCAGGACTTTACCATCTGTCATGGCAAAATGTAGAATTTATGTCATTTATAAATGTAAATTCCACACCAGTAAGTGCAATATATAACCCATAAATCCTCCCTCGGTCTTTTAATCTGCATTATTTTCATTGACTTGGTCAGCATTGTGGTTCCATGGTTTAACAGATTTGTTTTTATAGTGTTTGGTTTATCAGCATAGTAAGGATCATGGCAGAGAAACGTTAGTGCGAACTCAGTTGTTCTCATGTTAAGGAGAAATGAAAAACGTTTAGCACTACATCAGCTCCTATGATTTATGATTGTTATGTTGCACACTTGTTGTAAAATTTGGTGTTAAGAATATGTAATTATGAAAATATCACATAAGGAGTAGTCAGCATTAAAGCTAATACTCATGGCTGATGGAAATAAAAGGCTTAGACTGATTTCTGTACTGATAACGAATTGATGAACGAGAATGCAGACACGAGGCTGCATGTGGACTGACGCTCCAGCCCAAATCTGGAACCCATAAAGCCTCAGACATCTCTGCAACATTAGACACAGCACTTCTTATTGGCTGAGAGCGCCACTTACCCCCTTACTCTATCGCCCGCCCAGATAACATTCACTTCCTGCTTTCCTGCCTATCTCAGGCCGGACCACGCCCTCTGGAAGTCCGTGGAGCCAATGAAAAGTACTCGCAGGCCCCGGGTTAGCGTTTGGGTATAAAAGAGGTAGAGGTGGACCTGCCTGTCAGATGGTTTGTTGTTGTTCTGTCTGCCAGGTTGAGAGGGGAATGTGAAAGTGAGAAATTTAACAAGGTAACCGGGGAAACAGGACAGCCAGAGCAACGTCCAATCCGATGGAGCTTCAGCAGCCATAACTTTGTTTGACGGAGGACCAGAGTTTTGTTGCACAAGCTTGTCAAGCTCAGGTTTGTTGAAGCTATCAGCAGGGGTAAGCAGGTGAAAAAAAGAGCCGTACAACGTCCTGTCTCTGCAGTGGAGTGTAGAAAGTCTTTTGTGGACAGTACAATGAGAGAAGAGGTGTCCTGCACCAACTCCCCTGAAGGAGGGCTGGGGGCCAGCGAAGAAGAGCTGGAGAGGGGATCGAAGAAGACCCTTCAACCAGGAAACCGAAAACGTTCCCCTTACCCCAAGAAGGACAGCCTCGGTCAGGCAGAGGAGAGCAGCACCGGCAGCCCCAACAGCCAGCTGCCATCTGGACCGAAGAGGTTGAAGAAGAGCCCTTCCACAGTCGTGTCATTGGCCCCAACGTCGCTGGGCCCCAGGCCAGAGCAGCCCTTCGAGGACCTCCACTCTCAGCGCGTCATAGCCAACGTGCGAGAGCGTCAACGCACTCAGTCTCTGAACGACGCCTTCGCCTCTCTACGCAAGATCATCCCCACGCTACCTTCAGACAAGCTGAGCAAGATCCAGATCCTGAAGCTAGCCTCGCGCTACATCGACTTCCTCTACCAGGTGCTGCAGAGTGACGAGATGGACGCCAAGCTGGCCAGCTGCAACTACCTGGCCCACGAAAGACTCAGCTACGCCTTCTCTGTCTGGAGGATGGAGGGGGCCTGGGCCATGTCTACTAGCCACTAGGACCCCCTCAAACTTTTCTCCTAAATCCTCTCGTGTCCACATCTCCACCCCACTGCCTCTGTCTGTGTTTACGCCATTTCCTGACCTCTGAACCTCTGAATTCATGTCTTCTGGTCTGATCTTTATCTTTTCATCTCAAACCTTTGCATACATTTCTCACTCTGCTCAGTCTCAGTGCTCCATAATGTTTCACTCCATTAACATCCACTAATATCCATAGTTGGATTATGTGCAACTAAAACCTCTTGCAGTTCACTCTGTTTCCCTCCATTGTTTCCACTTCCCCTGTCGGTCCCACAGTTTAGTCCAGTGCAACAAGACGCTCCACTGCAGCCCCTCAGGTATGGACACAACTTACAAACACACACACACACACACACACACACACACACACACACACACACACACACACACACACACACACACACACACACACACACACAATACATAGTGTTGTGCAGATACATGCAAGAACAGATACAGAAATCATAAATACAAACACGCACTTCTGTGTTCTCCATATCACCAGCACATGGACATGAACAATCTGTGTTGGTCTTTATTTTCACGTTCAAAATAGTTCTTCAGTACAGTATTTTACATTAGCCTTTCAGCTCAACAAATAAATAACAACAAACAAAATAAGATTAAATAAAAAGCATCCACAAATGTGTGCTGCTCATTTGTTCAAAGGAATCTTATTGAAAATAGATTAAATCCATAAATGCTCTAAATTTTAACTTTATAATTTATTGTGAGAAAATGCAGCACTGAAGTGAATTAATTCTGTGATCATCTATAAAGTTCAACAGGGAAACAAAAACTGTGAATAAAGTGAAATGAAATGTATCTATGAACAAATTATAAAAAACCTCCATAGAAATGGCGTCTTTTTCAATTTGTCGAGTTTTAGTTTTTTAAATTCAAAATTTCTTTGCTAATATGAAAAAAATGTGTTCCATAATATTTTATAAAAAGACTTGTCTTTCAGTTAATTGAATAAAAATGAGAATAAGTTATAACTTATCTCCAACAATTCTATGAAACAAAATTATTTTCAATTGTTCACTGATCACTACAACTGCTCCACATTTTTATTTTGTAAAGTGTAATAATGTGCTGTGAATTGTTGAATTGCTGATGTTTAGTTGTTTGTTGTTACATTAAACATAAATGTTATGTTGCTCAGACAACACAAAGTTTTCACATAAATCAAGCATTGGGTCTGTGTCAGCTGGTGCAAATTATTCTGCCATTTTGGGTGGGAATGTTGCAAGAAAAAAAGTTCTCAATCTCAGGAGACCATTCTTGTCAAATAAAAGTCATCTAGACATATTGGAAACAGTAAAAACCAGATTCAAACAAACTTAACTCGTAATATACAGCTAATCTATCATGTCAGACTGCAGAACAAAATGCGTCATATTACATTTTAAAAATTAAAAAAGTGATCAACAAATGAGAAATAATAAGTCATTTTAAAATCAGATTGCAAAGTATTAAAACATTAGTAAAAATACATAAAACAAATGTCTGTAAATTCTGTGAATTCTCTTCACACATTTAATTTACGAGCAAACCTCGGCCTACACGTTTATGAACCTTTCTCTCCTCGTATATACATCAAGAATAAACCTCCATGGATCCCAAACACTGATCAACATGAACGACTCCTCTTTAAAAATATGTTTCCCCACAGTGCCAACACTGAAGCCAGAGCCTCAACAAATAACATGAACAACAAGACTTGGCACGATAAATGCAACGACTTAGCTCAAACCTAATCAAAGGTAGAGTATAGATTTACACAGAGCTTCTCTGAGCGCCTTGGTTATTTCACTTTATTAACTAAAACGAACTAACAGCACATTATCATGGTAATCTAAACTGTGCTGCTCCAGTGTTTGACAGACCTCTGATGTATTTAAGACAAATGTTTTCCTCCAGAATCTGTGGGATCGACTTCACACAGGGTCTGTTTTTTTTCAGCCGTTTTAACAGACACCAGATTCCTGCACAGGTACAGCATGAAAGGAGGAAAAGAAAGGGAGGGTGAAAAAAAAGTGTGGGCACATCTCTCTCTCTCTCTCTCTCTCTTGCTCTCTCTCTCTCCCTGCAGCCTTGCCCTCTCTCCTCAGGATCTTGTATCGTGCAATCAGGCCCCGCCGGGGCCCAGACAAGCAGGAACCTTTAGATTGGAAACAGTTGTGAGGTATTAGGAAGGTGTGTGTACCAGGGTTAGGGTCAGGCACATGGGCCTGTGTGTGTCAGCGCATGTGCATGTGCATGTGCATATGCACTGGTGTGTATTTGTGTGTATGTGTTTGTAGTGGGCTTTAATTAGCTTGTGCATGTATGTGTGTGTGTGTGTGTGTGTGTGTGTGTGTGTGTGTGTGTGTGTGTGTGTGTGTGTGTGTGTATGTATATGTGTGTGCGTGTGTGTGTCTGTGTGTGTGTGTGTGTGTATGTGTGTGTGTGTATGTGTGTGTGTGCGTGCGTGCGTGTGTTTCTATCTGAACACATCTGTAGATTAGTAAACAGGAATATGCTTACAGATGTTGTTTCAGCGATTTTATCTCACTCATCTCCTGGTTTTAGTTTGATAAGACTTAGAGTTACATTTCTGCAAGGAGGCATCTAGGAAGTCCTTCAAAATAAAATGCCAACATAAATTATAAGTATTTAATGCAAAAAGAGTGATGGGTTGGTAGATGACAAGGTGCAGAGACCGTGTAGAGATGACTGTGTGTTGCTGTGCTGGAAGGAATACACACCTTTGATCAGCTAGATGACAGGTCAAGGTAAACACATAACAAACAGACACACACAGCTCTGTGAGCAGATTACAAGCACATTATACACTGTGCAGGAATCAGTGACTCACACATAATACTACAAGTACAACATCCTATACATTACACTGTCCAGACACACACACACACACACACACACACACACACACACACACACATGCAGCCGCCAGCCATGTGCACACTCCAGGTGTTCCACTCTGCGCTATTATCAAACCTCCAGCGGCCTCTGCAGCAGACGTCGAGGGCTCCAGTCAGCGCTGTGGATGGAAAGCCAAGGCCCCAGCACGTGGAGCCGAATGTCCTTGAACACAACGCGGTAGTTATTACCCACCACTTTGCCTGCTCTGCCTGTTGTCATCAGCTCTGCAGGGGCTGCCGCAGAAAGTGCCAGAAACCCGAGGCCTGGTACTGACCTGAACATTCAATTCTAAAGGAGCAGATGAGGTTAGAGAGAGTCAGGCAAACTTCAAAGACAGAGTCTGCATGCATGTGTGAGTGTGTGTGTGGTGTTTTTTCTTTTTTAAACAGCAAGCATATTTAAGAACGTTGCACAGTCTGTCACTCTTACATGTGAATACAGTGTGCAGAATATCAAGGATGTCATCAAAATGCTGAGTAGCAGCCTCTGAAGTTTTCTGAAAGCTGAAAAACCCTATAATCATGAAAACACTTCACAATAAGTGTCTATTTTTTTTTCTCTATAACCGAGTCAGTGATTTAATTCAGTGGCAATTCCTCAGGCTGTAATTTGTGCTGATGAATTAGATGGCAGTAAATTGCAAAGTGTTCCTGTTATTTTTCCAACACAGTTTTTTTTTTTTGTACTGAGGAGATAGGTAGATAATTGGTTTTACCTGACTTCACACCATCAGTGTACTTCAGGGAAAATACAAGTTTCCTCTATATTTTCTGCTTTATGTGTAGAAAAGCCCAGAAATATTTTCCTTGAGAGGCTGTAGCATGCACACACACTAACATGAATGCACTGCGGACAGGTCTGAGCATTTTGATGAGCATGATTTCATGACATGTGGGTGTCTGGCTCAGCATGTGACTTTCAGAATGAGAGGATTGTTTTGTTTGAGTTGGAAAAAAACAATACTCTCCCTTCTGTTTATACTATAATCAAAATGCCTGTCACTGCTCTTTCCTCTGCCGGAACCTCTGGCTCTGCTGCGTCCATGTGTGTGCGTGTGTGTGTGTGTGTGTGTGTGTGTGTGTGTTTCTTTTACAGTTTGGACTGACCAGCTGTTGGACGCTCTTCTGTGCATATTAAATCTCTGGCTTTCACTCTGGACTGATTTGGGACCAGATGTAAAGTCCTCTGCGGCTCATCTGCGTTTTTAAAAGCCCCATCCAGAAGTTGTGGCTTCTGATAGTCATCTTTATTTTTAGAGAGCCAAACTATGAGCTGAGCGCAGGTGGGAGGGTTTTGTGTGTGTGAGTGTGTGTGTGTATTGATGTGTGTGTGTTTGACTACTGCATGCATATGTGCTTGTTTGTATGTGTTGGCCTTCCTCAGGCAGCTGCAGGGATAGAGGGCCATGGGGGAATGACTTCTGGTTTGACACGTAGGCAACAAAATGCCACATAACTGAAGTTCAAAATGCATCAGGGTCTTTCAAACATTCACGCACACATGTACAATTCACAGAAACAAAAAAAAAAAGACATTTATGATTTAAAATAAAAGATCAAATCATTTTTAAAGTGTAAAATAAAAAGAAATGCTCCCAAAAAAACCTAGAGAATTGTTTTTTTAATGAATATCCCTCATGTTCAGGTGGGCAATCTGAATCCAGGGCAGAACTGGCAGACGCCGCCAATAAAAACTAGGGTGCAGAGAGGTAATTACCGAATGTAAATACATTGAATGGCTACTGCAGAAAATATGCAGACCACAAGCAGTATCAAAAATGAGGTTTGATTATATGAAAACCTTTAGGATTGAGATGAATACAACAGAATACCGCTTTACCATTACAGAAAAAAAAAAAAAAAGCTTTTCTGTCAATTAACACATTCATGCTTTTATGGCATAATGAAAGTCATGTGATGGGACGACACCCACAAACATACGTGTTTGCTGGACTGGTTGTTTCTCTCAGCACAGAAAAACACAGTGTCATTAAGGAGGAGTGAGAGCGGGCCAGATGAAATGTTTGCTTGTTAAAACAAGAGAAGTTGACGTTAGAGAGCTGTAGACATTTTTCCACTTTCCACTAAACAGAAGTGTTTGTTTGTTTGTACACAGATTTTATAACCCCAACACACAACTCAAAGACTTTCACTGGATTTTTTTTTTTATTTTATTTTTGCACATGCAGGCCTACGCCACCGCTTCAGACTGATACATGTCTTCTTATCTGAAATGTGTTATGCTGAGTGATGTTAACTCATCTGTGTTTCTCATCTCTGCAGAAAACCCACAAATGGAAAATTCTCGACACTCAAAGTAGAAATTTGTTCCTGCCTCACCAGCCATCCCCGCTTTTTTTTTTTTTTTTATCTTTAAAAATTTTTTTTTCTCTTTCTCCGGACACGTGCTCGACTCATGACACTGAGATGTATTCTTGACTGTAACTGTTTTCGCTGAGTGTTTCTGAAACACTGCTGAGGAGACGTGACAGTCCAGTCAAGCGCTGAACATTTTGAATGATGAAAACAAGAAAAAAACAAACCAACTAATAAACAAACAAACAGCTGGCCTGCGGTGACAATGAAACAAAATGGCTGCTGGTTCGAGTGCCTTGGGTAACACCATGATAACCATCATCCACCCGACTCTTCACATCGGATGACTCACTGCCAGACAGACATTAAGATGACTAATGATAATGGCACAGTGATGGTTAGAGGGCGGTCACAGCCAATGAATGTTTACAGCTAAAATGCTAATAAGCTAATCGTTCTGGCTCTCAAAACCCCGTCTCGTGGGAAAAAGAAGAGCATGAGGAATCTGACGCAGATCTTCTTCTTTGTTGTGCTGTAGTAACTGGATAGCTTTCTGTGTATTTTGGACTTTTTTTTTTTTTAAGTGTATCTGTTTGTGAATTTGGTGTATGGACACTGTAACTCTGCTAATGCATTATACTTGGCTTTAATGTAAAATGTCCATGGGAAAATGACTTAAACCACTGATCACTACTCAACATTGGGATATTTTTTTACTTCAGTTTTTCTGTTATTAGTGAGCGTAGCAGAAAGTTGTATTTTAAAATGCTAAATCAGTGTTTGTCTGCTATTTCCTGTAGCTTTAAAAATAGCTTTGCAAACTTGACTATTTTCAATAAAGGATGCAAAAAAAAAAAAAAAAAAAAAAGAATCTAAAGTTTCTTGTAAAATTTGCCAAAGTGACGATGATTACAGCCACAGTATAGAGGAATCATTTGTAACCATAACTCGTCTAATTGCTGTTCGCTCATGTTTCTTCTGTATTTGCTTTTGGTCATCTTTATCGTGTCGGCTCCTGTGGACAATAAATATTTTCTTGATGCTGTATATAAGTGCAATATTTTGATAATCAAACGAATAATACATGACATGTCTGCAAGCTATGAGATATGAGAGAAAGCTGTGGGGAATTTGCTGCAATCAAATAATGCAAAATTAACAAGGTTCAAAAGAGAATGCCATTGGAAATAAATAAATCAATAAATCTTATTCAAATGTATATAATTTACCTTTATTAAGGCTTTTTTGGAAACAAAAGTGGTAGAAAAAGACAAAAAACAAAATAAGTCATTATGTACACTGTACAGAAAAAAATCAGTCAGTTCTGATAAAACTGGACTTGGCCTGCAGTTTTAATTAAGATCCCGTTTGTTGATGCTACCTTCATACAGATTGGTCAGCTTGATACTTCAAGGCACATGGGCTGATAATTTGGTCTCTACATACGCATGGGATTAATTTCTCAGATCAAATACAAAAATAAGTCATTAAGACAAAAGATAAGACATGAGATGTGTAAGGTCACTCTCATGAACGCGCTCGTGACGCTACGTAAAGTGACGCTCCTCTGAAGGACTGGAGCTGAAACGGCTCCGTTTTCTCTTGCTGTCATGTGTTTTCACATTTGCATTAGATCAGCAAAGGTTTGACAGGCTTTGAGTTGCATACATCACGCAACATAAAGAAAGAAAAAAAAAGAGCAAACATACTGTATTAAAAAATAACCTATAGCACCATCAAAAGTGTGTTACACATGCAAAGAGCACTTCAAAGACAGAATCTGAAAGTATAAATAGAAGTCATGTAGGTTTTTTTTTTTTTTTTGAGAAATGAATTTGTTTATATATCCATCCTGTGCTTTTGGTGCTGTTCAACTGTTTGGATAGAAAAAAGAAACATTCACAAACTCTTGAAAGTCTTTGAAGTTCTTTAAGCCATGCCAGTCCAGGGACGGCACATTGTTCTCATAAACTTTGGTTGCGCTTAACCTGTGTCCAATTGCATTGTGTGGATATTCAACTATCTCAGTATTATTGCTCCATCCTAACTGCTAAAATGTCCTTGTTTGGTCCGGGCAGCAAAACATCCCAGCATCCTGCTGACAATAAACAGAACAGCACTTCTAAAATGACGAACAAAGGACAGCTCACTTTATCCTTGTTACAAAAGAAAGAAATGTATAAAATAAATTTACAAAATACAGCAGGAATGCTCATCCACAGGTAGAAACACTGGTCCACTTAACAAACATGATCAAAGTTCAAAGTTTAAGACCAAAGTCATTCTGACCCTCCCATCCTGAGGGCATTTTAAGTGCACTTTGTGTGTGTGATTGTCATAAAGTCCATGTGGCTTTGGATGTGAGTCTCATCCAAGATGTCAAAATCAACCTCCTGACAGAGAAGACGTGATCTGCATTTTTATATACAATCATTTCTGAGTGGTCAAGCTGCACTGAGGCATCATGGGTGAATTCTGTCTTTGCTGACATGTATAAAATCTCTTTGAGAGTGACAACTTTCTCCCCTGATATCGATGCTCCAGTGACTAGAGGTATTAGCTCATCATTGTGACTAATGCCACAGATACAAACTACAGTATGTCTATACATTTAAGATGCTCTTCTTCTCTTCTTTCATCTGTCCGCGAGCAATAACAATAACTGCAGCCATCTAGAGCCTTGCTGCATGTGCTCGCCTGACAGGCCAAGAAGAAGAAAAAAAAAAAGAAGAAAGATTTAAGAAAATATGTGGACATACAAAACAATATGAAACATATGTATCTCAGACTTCACTGTAGCTTCACTCTGGATTACTGGATTCGTAAACAAAAAAAAAATCTCATGCTGACATTCACAGAAATGTGTGTCATAGGTCAAATGAATGAATATTCAAATTAATTCAAAATATGAGCAAACGAGATGTTTGATTGTCAATATCCGTCTTCTCCATCTTGTCTATTTCACATTACCATTACAGAACGGTACAGTGCAAAAAAAAAAAAAAATGATCAGAGAAGATCTTTTCCTTCATTGGATCTTTGTCAGCTGCAGACAAATGACATCATCATAGCAGGACACGTTTTAAGTGCAGCGCGGATGTGTCTGCTCTCCTTCACAGGCACGTCCTGTGGGGACGACTCCTTCCGCTCTGAGTGATTGGCTCCAGTAAGCCGAGATGACCTCTGGCCCCCCTGCTTCAAGGTTACAACAGTCCGAGTGGTCACGCGCAGGTCTCGTGGGAGACGTTAACAAGGTGAATGTTTAAAGTCACAGAGCTGTGTGTTCGTGCTACGTCATGCTGGCAGCTCCAAATGCTACAGGAGTGAACATCCTTCATTAGTCTGCCTCTGGCTGTCTTTCTGTTCAACTTTCTCTCAGTCCAGTGTGTGACATCCCCTTCAGGAAGAGCCTGTGGAGGCGTCATGAGAATATGAATGTTGTCCAGGTGTCCAGGTCTGCTGTTGCTCAGTGTGTGTTCGAATCAGAGTGGTTGATCCAGTAGTACTGCAGCCAGTAGTAATGCAGGTGGAGGAGTTTCTGTGAGGCGATGAATACAGTGGTTGAACTGAGGAGGACATCTGGTTCCACTGATGGTCCAAATGTATAGCTCTGTGTGTGTGTGTGTGCATGTGTGAGTGAGTGAGTGAGTGAGTGAGTGAGTGTGTGTGTCCATTGAGACTTGGTTGAACGCAGCTGTCAAGAGAATATTTTTTTCAGAGAGAATCACCTTTCTCTGTCAGTTTATCTGGCTGTTTCCTTAATAAATGAGAGAAGGAGAAATTTTTAAATGTTAAATGTTAAATCAAGTACAGCGTTTTAATTTGTTAAAGCAGAAGTAATCTAATATGACATCATCCTTACCTGTCAGACATGAGAGATCCCATCGACAATGCGGCGATGGCGCTGATGGCCTCGCTGTCCGAGTCTCGTCTCAGCCGTCGTCTCTGGGCTTGCAGGTAGGACAGATCCACAGTGGCGGCCGAATCCTTCACACTCTGCCAGTATTCACCTGCAGGGAGCAAAAGGATGGAAAAAAGGGAGAGAAGGAAGGAAATACGAGAGAGAAAGATTAATGGCCTCAGTCGTTGGTATTTCAGTGTTGTTTTCATCCTGAATGGTTCCTTCAGGGAAAGTGCCTGTGCTGCATTAATAAAAAGCACTACTTGGTGTTTGATCCAGCAGTTGTAGCTGTTTGATCTGAATATAAGCATTGAGTATGATATAAACAGCCCATGGTCTAAATATCCCTGTTGATAATTTCAGAAATGTAAACTCAAATTCAATCTCTCCTCTCAAGGTCTCCAGGCTTGAGTCCTGTGACACACAGTGGAAGTAAAAATCAATCAGTGTTTGCAAATGTGTTCGTCTATGAGCATGTGTGTGTTCTGGCTGTGCATGCAACTCACACATATTTCACCCCGGGTCTAAATTATGGGCTTAACATTCTTGTGGCTTTGCAAATATTTTTAATTAATCTAATTTGGTTGGGATAACATTTGTGTGCAATCAGGAGGGGATGTTGCGAAGGTCGTGTGCCAGAGAAGTGTTTGAAGATAATTGGAGCCAGGGCGGTCCGTATGTGTGTGTGTGTGTGTGTGTGTGTGTGTGTGTGTGTGTGTGTGTGTGTGTGTGAGTGTGCGTGCGTGTCGGTCTGTGTGTGGGACAGCTTGAGGGAGGGATGGGAGACAGGGATGTAAAGGAGGAGAGGTGGACAGAGAGCAGGACCGATAAGGAGACAGAGGGGAGAGATTGCTGAGTGGAGAAATAAAGAGACTAAAGTTGTAGAGAACAGAAATGTGAAGATGAAATTCTGAACAGCTCTTAGAAACACAG